GGGGGGCAACGGGGTGGCAAGGGTGGGCAATGGGGAGGTGCTCGTTAATTGATGGCACTGAGGTAAACGAAACACCCGAGAAGGAGAAAGAGAACTGCCAAATCTCCCTCTTACCCACACCAACTCTCTGTCCCCTCCAAAAAGGGAAGAGCCCTTTGGGCCTTATTTATATCAAAGGACTAAACTGAATTCACGATCAAAATACCCGCGTTCCACGGCATTGATGGATCACCTGGGCACCAAGTTACTTCTCTGTCCTATACCTGGCTATCCAACTGGTATTTTCAAATGAACCGCCTTTTTCCATTGGGAACACCCCTGCCTAAAACCCCTCCCCCGCTCCTTTACCCCCTTTTTGTAAATCCAAATGCGAGAGAGGCTTAAATTGAAGCGAATCCCGAACGGACTCGGCAATCTTCAAATGAGAAAAAGCGTTTTGTATGTGAATTTGTTTTTATAGGTATGAGTGCTCCGAGCATTAAAGTTTCATCTCAAATGCTACAGTTTGATGTTATTTATGTCGATCAGTGATTTTTAACCGCAGCATTTATATCTATTGGAGGGATTTCGAGGATTTTACGCTTTAATTATAAATTTCTGGAGTTTAATATTATTTAGAACTGGAATCTTCTCCTGGTAATGGAATTGTTGGGGACTTTGATTTTCAGTGTATCGAACAAATGATCATTCTAAAAATTATTAACTTAGGTAATTGAATTTTGGATTTTTTCAATTTGATCCGCCTCTTGCCAACGAGTTGGTTTTGAATTCTCACTGAGGATTTCAGAGTAGTTTTTTCATGATTTATTTATAAACCATCAGATGTGCTAGCAGAGAATTCATTTCAGGCAAATGTATACATATTTTTGACTTAAGAAACGAATATATATGTGATTGTTTAAATTAAATTTTCTGTTGGCGAATAATTTGCTAATTTCAGGCTCATAAAATGCAGATGACCCATGATTAAAGTGAATTCCATTTGTGCAGATTACTGGGACGTGGTTCAATGCACGTATTCTCATCGGAGCAGTTTCAACGTCTGATGTCTGCCAGTGGTTTCTCAGGCCCCTGGCACTCGCTGGTTGATCTAGGTGCAGGGGATGGTGCGACAACTGCACACGTTGCACAATTATTTGGCCGAGTCTACGCCACAGACATATCCGCCCCAATGAGGTGGGCCCTCGCCAAAAGAAAATTTACGTGAGTCTCCGTAGCTATTAAATCTCAAAGTGATTTATACATTGTAAAGCCCGTGCTTTAGCCCTCCAAAGTCTCTTACCTGAGCAACTCCAGATGTACTAATTGGTCGTTACCGATAGAAATCAATTGTACGAAGCAATTTAATTGCCCTCACACGCTCTCTGAAGTCGATAAGTTCGAAGATGGTACTTATTTGCCAGTGAAGACGCTTAAACGTTGAAACGATGAAACTTTACAACATTAGAATTGATTGGAGTAGAACTTTACGATGGCTTTTATACGAAACTTCATCCTGGGTTTAGCCCTCTGGGGCTGGTTAATATGAACGCCCACGGGCTCCCCAGGCTAGTGATTCACCAAAACTCTGAATTTTCTTCAATCGAATTTTCAATAAAATACTGTCAACTCCACCGAACAATCGTAACTTCTACAGGACTACTTCGTAGGATCGTCAATTTATTGTTCACGTGGACTGCAGTTGTGAAGCTATAAAATTGTTCATCGAAGTGTAACAGTGGCGATGAGCGAACGATAAAAAACTCACAATTTTTATATGTATATTTGCATCTGCAAGGCCTTTTTACCATGATTTTAAAAAAATGGTTCTTTCGTCTCTTCAGGGTGCTTGATGTCGATAAGTGGGACAGGGTAGCTCCCTTCAATGTTATTCTGTGTTTGAATCTTCTGGATCGGTGCGATCGTCCCAGCACTCTGCTGAGACAGCTCAGGGCAGCCCTCGCCCCAGGCGGTAGACTTGTGATAGCTCTGGTGCTTCCGTTCAGTCCCTATGTGGAAGTTGGTGAGCGTGGTGATCACAAACCATCCGAGTATCTGCCAATCAAGGGCACTGGCCTCGAAGGACAAATAGCTGGCCTAGTTGACCGGGTTTTTGGTCCAGTTGGCCTAAAGTGTTTAGCTTGGAGCAAATTGCCGTATTTGTGCGAGGGCGATCTTGGACAGGCCTATTATTTCCTAGATGATGTTATCTTTGTCTTGGAAAGCCACGAGGTGAGCTCTTTAATTGATTTTTTATTCGAATTTTCCATTTAAAAATTTGAAGAGTTCCGATCAATCGGCAATTTCAACGAATTTCAATTTAATTGAAAAATTGAATTCACTCTCATTGGAAAAGTATATTATTATTGTTGTCAGAAGAAAAAAACTGATGAGAATTTTTTCTTGCAGGAAGAGCCTTGTAGGAATGGCCTGCGAAGAGATCCGGACATGCAGACTCAAAGATATTGAGTGAAACGAAATGAAATGAAAGAACAGGCAAGTCACACTTGTAAAAACATTTTTAATAATCAATACGACGAATTAATTGTGCAGGAATACAGGAAGATTAATACTGGCAAGCGACGTCAAACGTTTTAGCAGTGCGGACACGTCAGTAGCATTTTTTTGTGTATAATAATTATTAATAATTCGTTCTTAAGGACTGATTCAATACTTCATCAGGCTATCAAAGACTCAACGATCGTTACTTCAATGTTAATTTATTGTTGTTGATGATATGCTTGATCAGGAGTTATCCGCAATTGTCTTCTTTGGTTCAATATCTTTAGACAACAACCCAACGTTTTCTTTGATAGCGAGACCCAAAAACGACGGTTTGCTTTTATTCGATACATGAATTTAATCTTTCGAGTTCCATCAACATTCACGGCTTTTTTTGGCTTTTCTCATTTTCTCGATACACAGTACTGGTGTAAACATCAACAGATAATTATAGGATACAGTCGAAGCGTGGATTGATATCACGATTCGATCGTAAATATTGCAGCAGCTCAAATGATAACAACTCGGTAGTAAACACTAAAGGATAACATCTCAATCTGTCCGTTAGACGAGTTTTCCATAAATATCTCTGAGTCCCACAGATATTTCTGGGGAACCTATCAGCTTAATTGGCTCCATTACCCTTTACCTCTTCGCTACTGAATTTTCCTCTCGTATAAAAAAAAAAATAGCAATTTTGCAAAGTAAAAGGAACGGATATTTGTATAATCTTTACCCAAAAATCCTCAACAAACTCACGTACTCTCAATTTTCGTGAAAACTTTTGAAAAATTTTATTAGCCGAAACATTCATTCCTCAAGACCTACGATTCTCAGAATCTGATTCATAAATAATTTTCCCCCCAGAAGCTGCCATTGTATCATCGATTGATAATCGCTATGATACCAATTAAAAATAATGGATTTACAAGACAATGGAAGAATAGTTCATTGATTAACTACTTAACTTCTTCATTGGCAACAGTTGATTTGGACCTGCCCGTGGAGCTTAGATTATTGAAAAAATTTGAGTAATTTTAAAAATTTCAAACATGGAACGTATAAATAAAACTTCAATATTTCATAACAAAAGATATATCTAGACTTATCCGCTAATTAAATAAATAATATAAAAGATTTTTTCGCATCATTACGTGTGATCAGGTGGGGTCCCGTCCCGGGGTGATACAGCCATTACTCCTAATAATTATTGACTTTTTTCATTATAATAATTTGTCATTTCCAAAAACACCAGTCAACCCCAGGTGAATTTCATCTCTAAAAATATATATTACAAATACTGTAAAAGTTTGTTTTTTTTTCAGTACATTGCCAGTAGTAAGGCAAGCAAGACCCCCTGATTGCACCAATAAGCACCACTGGCAGGAGTTTTTTTTTTTTTTTTCATAAAAAAATGATAACAAAACGAACGAAATACTAATATCAATATTTAGTAAATCACGAGTCGATTCAAAATCTAGATAGAATTTGTTTTTCATCTCTTTTTACTACCCACTTTTATCACAGTCCACGCATGACTCATTTTTAACGCCCACAATCACCGAAATGTCCTAAACGCCATTACTCTTGAGCAAAACAGTCTGGTCCTTATAAAAATGTTTTCCCATTTGTTCCTCAACTCAATTCACTTAAATGACTCCAATGTGACTAGAGAATCAATATAAAATTTTTGGAGAGTGCTCAGTCCATCTTTCGAGGCTCGCACAGGTCTTCCAAGCCGCTGGCTTTTCTGTAAAACAATTCAATCGAATTTATCTCATTCGAGTTCAGTTTTATTGGCTTTCGAGTGCTATTTAAAGTGTTTTTTTTTCTTCTGATGGTGTCAAGTTTTCTATTTAATTGTCCATTTTTTCAAAATTATCTTGAAGTCTTTTCGAAGAAAATTCAAATCTTTATACAATTTTCACAAAAATTTAGTGAGCAAATAACATTCGAAAGATAATGCAGCTAGATTTAAAAATAATTTAATTGTTAAGAAACTCACAAACTAGGTGGAAGATATGTAGGCCCAGAATGATCTAATCTGTGTTTATCCTCATTTTTCCAGCTGGAAACGGGAATATGTGGAGGTGGAAGAAAGCTCCTCAACGACTGCACTAACTGAATTGTGTCGACCAATGCTAGATGGAGAACAAAGGCATTTTCAACCGAACTTAATTAAAAAAAATGTATCTACGGGTACGGTTAGCACTGAACCATTGTCGTCCAAGGTCAAGCCAAGTTAATTACTTAAATTTTTATATTTCTCGTCAGAGAGAAAACGTTATCTACTCATTTAACGAGGTGACTATCAATTTATGAATTAATCCCTTACGTTCGAGAATAATTTCATTAACAGACTGATTTTTCGTGAGATATATGTATCCAACAGTTTTTGTGTCGAATGTTAAACCAAAATCGTGTATTCACGAATATGTTTCTGTACTATTGAGTCACGTTGACCTGTTTATAATATCTGAATAAATATATCAGTGGAAATTAACAGAAGTAACTAGTTTGTAATTACTTTTTTGCAATGCCTCCGACTGTTTTCCATAGGGCTTGCACATGGCAGGACGTACACAAGCCTTCATTCTCGCCATGTTTTTCATTACTTCAGCGAAAGCTCGAACGATTTTTCCCCCACCACCTGAAGCCAAGTGAAAGTGTAAGTTAATGTGGTAATTTGAATTTCTCAATTTTGGAGAACCTGTAGTTTCCTAATTAAAAAATTGAGCCGATTTTCACTGAATTGGTAAATAAAAGACGGGGTTTTAAAAATTATTCTCGAATAAAAAATGTCAATATATATGTGAATGAAATAATTGTTACTGTCTGTATTGGTGGCTGCTGAACGCGCTCCTTTCTCCTCGATTGTCCATGCGCCATTGTGCAACGCAAGAAGATCTTTATTGGCATTCGTGAGCCCCTGGAGATTTCCAAGTCCAAGTCCGCTGAGCCCCTCCAGATTATCCAAATTAGACCTCAAAAAATCCGTCAATTTGTGATCAGGCAATTGAGTGTTGATCATGGACTCGTAGTGCTGCTTTCCAACCTTCTTCTCCTGGCAGGAGGCTCGATGTGGAATATTGAGTGAGGGACGACTGGGAGGACGTTGAAGACTCATTTGATTCCCAACACTTCGAATTTCCGGGAGCTCTGAGCCCGTCATGTGGCTGGCATTGGCGTTAGCCAACCCTTGGAAGTCAGTGTTGTGGGGAAAGCGCAGCATTGACGCCACAGCCTCATTGTCCTGGATATAGGTCGGCGCCATGTGGCTCATCTTCTGTGTGAGCTCCAGTTGACTCTTGTAGTAACGACAGGCAGGATTGGGACAGTTCTGCACCACTTCGATAATAAACTCCTTCTCCATTCCAAAACATTCACGACCGATTGTGTAGGATTCCATGACAGCTCGAACTGTACTCTCGAGGCCCAGATGATGGCCATGGGGACCATTCATGTGCTTCAGCATTACCGCATTAGCAAAGTGTTCGTACGGGAGAATTATCTTACCATTTTCACGAAGGACTAGCCTCCCTTGAGCGTCCAGAGCAACTCTCGATGCCATCATTTGGAGATAAGCAGCACTGGGCAACATTGAGGCCTCCTTTAGCTCGGTAAAGCACTGGAGAAGTTCAATGCTGGGATTCCATCCCTTATTCTGCAGATAGAGCCGGAGAAGAGAATACATAGTCTCAGTGACATATCCAGCTCCACTGGCCGAGCCGGCGTATCCAGATCCGCCTCCTGGTGGACCCATCTCCGTCTGCATTCCTTTAGCAACAATGTTTTTCATAGTTTCTGCCAGGTCCATCCTGAAAAATCCATTAACACATAAATCACGTCAGGAATATTCAAAATTAACAGCTGAGTTTAAGTGCTTTTCCACGATAAACTCAGGTGATAAAAGTGACAAGCTTTCAGCAAGATTGGACGCTCTGATAATCACCATGTTGCATATGCGCCGCATCAACGAATTAGAGTATAAATTCTTCACAAATTATAACACATTCCCGTCGTATTTTTCACATAACAGTTCCATCGAATTCCCCACCGCCAATATTTACGAAAAGCAGCAGATAATTCCGGACAGGTTCACCATTTGATAATGCCCTTCATCCATTGTTGTTATCGGAACCCCGGATTTGTATACGCAATAAAAAAAAAACACTGAGCCACCGCCCCCTTCAAAAATGAATTGCAAAGAGAGAGAGACGAATGCAAATATATCTACTCACCTCGTTCCCCTCCCACTGATCATTGCCAATAACTCCGGGGATTGTGAAAAAACAATCCCCTCCCCAAGGAAGTCCCCGGCGGCCCTTTTAAATCGCCGAAATCCCAGAGTCGCACCTCAAACGGACGTATGTTTCTCCCATTTTGCAAATAGTAGAAATCGTGATAATTATTTGGGTATTGAATGATTCCCGCAATTGCCGAAAGAGGCGCATGTACATACCCAACGTACTTTATTTTTGCCATACCCCTCATTCCACGGGATTTTGGAATCCTGGGAGCCGGGGCCAGGGGGTGTCGTCTCCCGCTGTTTTCAAGTCTCACAAATTTAGTTGTGTATACTTTTACATAGGCATCGCCACAAGTCATGGAGGCTGAGTCTAGAGTATAACGTTAAGTGGCCATGTAACATTACCATAGGAGTCAAATTTTCAATCCAATTATAATAAAAAATAAAATAATAAAAAAATAAAAAATAATTGGATTGAAAATTTTTACTTCTCTGGTAATGTTAAATGGCCACTGAATCTCTCTGAGGGATAAATAAAAACATCGACGAAAGTCACCACGCCGAGAGAAACCGAGTGATTTTCAAGGGCCAAGCGAAGGTGGATTTGTTGACTCTCTCTTGCGCTCTCACGTGCTCTCAACAAACACATGATCTCGAGAAACCCCCCATTCCGGCATTTGTTCACAATCTGCTATGCAAGGTATTCAACCGACCAACCCACCAACCACATCAACCAATCAACCAACCAACCAGATCAGCCAATCAACCAACCAACTTTTTGCGCTCTTTTTTGTGAACCCTGTGGTTTTCATCGAATTTCTGAAAAATTATTTGTCCTAACCATCTAAATCCAACGGCATCGGATTCATGAAACCGTATCCGATTTTTCTCAGTTGTGAATAACCAATGAATTAACCAACCAGATCAACGAATCAACCAACCAACCAGCTCAACTAACCAACCAACCAACCAACCAAACAACCAATCAACCAACCAACCAACCACTCAACCAATCAACCAACCAACCAACCAGATCAACCAATCAATCAACCAGATCATCCAACCAACCAATCAATCAACCAACCAACCAATCAACCAACCAACCAACCAACCAATCAACCAACCAACCAATCAACCAACCAACCAGATCAACCAACGCACCAACCAGCCAAGTCAGCCAACTAACCAGATCAACCAATCAATCAACCAGATCATCCAACCAACCAATCAATCAACCAATCAACCAGATCAACCAACCAACCAACCAACCAACCAACCAACCAACCAACCAACCAACCAACCAACCAACCAACCAGATCAACCAACCAACCAACCACATCAACCAACCAACCAACCAGATCAACCTACACCGTTATCGACACTTTTGTCCTCGTGACCTGCCTTATTCACGGGTACAGCTGCTGATTTAGTACCGTAGCCACCGCTACGAGAGTTTTCGATTGAACCGTTGCCGTTGACGTTACCCTGATCTCTGACGACATTCCGTGGTTAGGTCGCGGTAGATGCGCCATCTCCCGTCCTTCACGATCATTAAACAATTAAGAACGACTCCGTATTTCGCGGCTTCTTCGAAAGCCAAAACATTCAATCAAAAACAAAACACGATTGTCCTCCAACGCATCAACACACTCTCAAATCTCGGAAATTCTAACCTGAGGCCCTGGGGAATTTGGCGAATTTCGTCATTCCGACGCGGCAACACAAATTATCCGGCAACTGTGGAGTTTTTCCACCCCAGGATTATTTGGCGAAAAACAAGGAACCTACGGCGAGAGAGGTAAGATTGTGTTTACAAACGCCGAATGTCCTCCTTGACCTTGGACTTACCCAACATTACTGTATTGACAGACGAAAATGGATCCTTCAAGGCTAAACTTCAGATGTATCGTCTGTGACATGGACACCGCTAGCCTTTGTGAATTACACAAGCACCAATCGTCAACTCATACATCGGAGGAATTATCCCTCTCTATCTTGACACTCCAAAGTTTTCTCTACCACAAGCACTACTTCCAGTCACTGGATGCAAAACCACCAGTTGACGCCTGTTATTTCTACCCCTTCTGTACGAAATTATTGTCTGATAAGGCGACAAATATTGAGAATAATTGCCAGACGTTCACGCCCACCCCCCTGAGGCCAGACGAGGTGGTTGTGAAGATCGAAAAGAATGAGGCAGAATCTACTGGAACGCCTGGAAAAAATCGCAAGAAAATTCCCAAGAAGCAGGTGCCACTGAGACTGCCCCTGATCGCTGCCACTCGTTCCACAATAATTACTGCTCCTCTCAACCCTCTGGTCAAACAGAGTTCTTCCATTGAGGCACATGGTTCTCACGCAAAATTTCTCAGCTCTGCAAATGGTCTGTGTGAGGACCTGATCAGGCTTAAAGGTCCGATTCAATCAAAAATAAAACGCAAACGATTGAATGAGAAAAGACATGGTACTAATCGCCCCAAAAGAGACAACAGACAGCCGATCCGGAAACCGATGAGAAAGCCGGAGATCAATAACGTTGAGAAAAGAATTCAGGATCTTCTGCCGAAGATTTCGGTACCGGAAAACTTAGAAACTGTCAATATCTGGGCATCTAAGAGCGAGGAAAGTATTTCCCTTGATACTGGCGATACTCTGCCGGGAGGTAATTCGTTCGAGAATGTCCAACCGATTAAGCTGCACTCCCCAGTAATGCCCCAGGACATTATGAACTGTGAGAGTGCTCTCATCTTTGATGCTGAAACTGGCAGCTTCCAGTGGAATCCACTGGTTTTTGTCGAGAAGAAAAGTGAGGGAAATGCCAATGGATCTCAGCAGGTGCTTGAGTCCGTTCCATTCAACAATTCACCATATTTTTCAAATTGTTGAGTAATTTCTGGTTGACTATAGCTTTTCTAGGCCATTGTTCCGTATTTATAAGGGTATCGGAGTGCTCAGATTTTTTATAAAGAGTATATAACATGTTATCCGTTTTCTTTTCTACTTTTTCTTTTATTAAAACGTATTCAGAATATGATAGAGAACGTACAAAGGAACGGGCTGTGATTTCATGTAAAATATTAGGACTTCATTTTGATAATAAGAATTTTTGAAGTATTTTCTCATTTTTCTCGCGATGAGATAATTGAACTTAAAGATAATTTCATTTTCTACAAACTATGGCTGTTGATTCTTCAATTGATGGATATCAATTCAATTTTCAATACAGGAAGATAAAAACCTCTCTAAGTGATGGAAATTTAGGGGGATAATTATCATTTAAATGGCTACACTTTCGTATGTCCATAAAATTCAAAGGAATATAATTCCATAAACATATTACATTTAAATTCATGATGCCATAGATTAGAGTAAGGAATTGGTTATTTTCGTAATAAATAAACATTTTTCCAATACTTTTCTTTTGATTTTTATTTAACAATATAACTGAAATACAGATAAACCTTTAAGGTGAGAAGAATCATCATCATTGCTATGCAAAATAATTCTTTGCGACAAAGTAGACTGGATATAAGTGAAAGTACTGTGCACTCCCAACCCACCAATAGATGATAATTACCTAAACTAGTGTATGAATAATATTATCAGTTACCTACACATAGGCAACAGAAATGGGATTCTAGTAGCAATCCATGGAATTCATTCCGTCCTGTTCGTAAACAGTGAGTATGTCCTCAAGAACTGAATCAAAACAAACTGTATAGTTCTTAAGCCATTGTTGTTTCTCCTGGATGTATTTATCGACATCCATGCTAACGACAACATTCAAAAAATTTTCCCTCGTAACTTGAGACAAACTCTGCAGAGTAGTTTTTTTCGTGAGATCAGCGTCTGTATCCATTCTCATGGAACTCTGATAGATTGATGTCAGAAGCTCTGCATCATTTTCATTGACAATTTCATCGATAATATCAGCTAGCTTTTCTGGTGAACTATTTGTCGAGGACCTAGAGGATTGTATTTGCGGTTTTATGTAGGAAGAATCAATTATAGCACTGTCCTTGGGTGCTCGATTATTCTCGATGATTGGGTCATTGAGTTTATACTTGAGTATGTAAATTTGAAGTTTCTTGATGATATCAGCTGCAGACCTTGAAACTTCAAAGTCACTGTCATCCTTCAGGGTAACGAGAAGGACTCCGAGGCACCTCTGCTTGGCCACATCATCCAGCGCCTTGTTCAATCGACGTTTGATCTCGCAGTCATTGAGTTGAACAATCTTCCTATGCTCCTTGGAGAAGGTGACATTTGGGAATGAGCCGTCCAGCATTCCCTGGTCAGTGAAGTGCGACTTTATGAAGTGTTTCCAGAAATTTAGAGCATTTACTTTGACCTCCCAATGAAGATCCAGTACTGCAGCCTCGGCCATTGCAGCACTCATTAAATCAATCGTAGGTTTTGACCATTTTCTGTACACGTACAGTTCTTTTATCAAATCCACAGCCTCTCTCCTCACAATTGCTTCACTCTCGTTCTTGAATAAGTTGATGAATTTATCTGGAAGATCCATTTTCGACAGACTGTCATCCCAGAGTTTGTTTATCCGAATTGTTGTGGAGATGAATTTAACTGCCGATGCCCGGACGTAACTCTCGCCATCCATTAAGGCAACGTCTGTGATGACTGGTAGAAAATCATTCGCAAGTAAGAATTCTTGAAACGCGGGGTATTTAGCTTCAGATATCTCTGCTATTGTGATTAGGACTTCCAAAACACTGTCACGGACTTCCCAGTTGGGATCGTGCAATCTTTTGAATAATGTTTGACCAATTCCACTCATGTGACTGTCGCATTCAACTAATAAGGCTAAATTTGGTGGCATAAAGTTCTGGATAGCGAGCTTGCAAATCTGAAGAGCTTTTACACACAGCTGGAATTTTAATTTTATATTTAGAATAATTAATAATTAAATTGATGACTGATTATTCCAGAGTAATTATATACAAAGTAAACGTGTGTGAATACTCGACATTATGGATAATTCATTGCTGATTAAGACTATATTTTTACTGGACAAATACTGTACTCACACATGGCAGTGTCCCTGTGTGATTCAAGATCTCTTGTGCAAGTGAAAAAAGACATATGGTCTCAACACAGTCCTGCCATTTGAATTGGAACTTTTGGGTGAGAACAGCTAGTCCATGGAGCAATGTGGAGAGCAGCATAGGATTGTCGACAACTGGATCTCCATTGAATAATGAGTTGGGTGGAGGTTTTCTTCTATTTTCATTCGGCAAATCGTGGGAACTGTGAGTATTCGGCATTTCCCAAGCTTCACAGTTATTCTCTTTTGGTATGTAATTTTTCAGAGCATAACACATGCTTTGAAAAGCGATGACTGCCACCCCCTGGACATAACCAATGAAAAAATTCAATATGACCGGTGATTACAATACAGTCCTGTTTCGGTTAAAAAAAGCTATTAGCTTTGCCTTCTCTTCATCGTTGACTATTTAATGAAATGCTGAATTAATTGACATCTGAATTTTACTGGGATCTTACCCTTTCAATAACGTTAATCGTCTCGAGAATCATCTCGATCGATGATTTACATATTTGTTCAACCGGTAAATTCTCCTTCAACATAACATCTCGGACCAAATAAACTAGCCTTTGTACCGGCTGCCATGTAACATCGAATAATTTATCAACAAACATTTTGAAAAACTCGTGCTTCATATTATTGTATCTCATGGTCGTTCCTAGAGGTGTTATCTGAAATGGACGTTAAGAATTGAAACATGATATTAGTCAGAGGAAAGTATCCTTAATGAAATAGAAATCCACTGCGAATACTGACCATCAGGGCCATTGATTGATATTCCAATTGATGTTCAGAGGACGATTTTATCTCCTTGATGTCATTGAGTTTCTTCCAGTACAGCAGTGTCATCTTCTGCAACCCTACAAGCTCGAGTATATATTTTTTCCCTATTAAAAGAGTCTGAATATAGCAATATCGATCACTGAATTTTTTCCACGTTTCACAATCAACCAGCGGCCCATCCATCCTAGCTCCACCCTTGACTATTTGGAAAGACAAAAAGACCCACAACTTAAGGATATGTTTAAGAAACTTTGTGCTTATACACGCCTCAGTGAGTGCTCTCAAGCGATTGTCCAGGTCGACGAGGGCCTCAATTCTGTCTGTTATATCATTCTCCAGGCTCGTAAACATTGTATTCTCGATAATACTAGTTATTAAATCCAACGTCGTACACAGGAGTGCGTTTTGGTCCATGTAAAGTTCTTCCAGAGCTGCATGGACTTGAGAAAATCCCGAATATTTGATCAGTGGATCTGATACTGTTAGAATTACATCTTTGCAAAATTCCTTATTCTGAGATTCCTTATTGAGTATTGTGTAAATAAATCGATGACTCTCTCTTGTCACGTACATTGTGTGGTTTAGTTGTGCAAATTTTACAATGTCTTTCCAGAGACCTAGAATTTAAAAAATTATTTTAGAAAATTACTTTAACAATTTTACATCTACGCAAATTATAAAAATATTATCATTCATTGAATCGCTCTTTAAGAAGACACATTGAATTCTTAAACGATCCACCATCTTCATCAAACCATCGGTTTGTTCCATATCTATTTACTACTAGATATGATAATAAAGCCCTTGGAAGTGCCGTGAAGACAGATTGAAAAAAAAGTTGATTCTCTGGAAAAATTGACACATACTCTTTGTTATGACCCAACGTCTTCCAATATTATGAGAGATAATGTCCGAGAGCATTGACGTATATGCCATTTTAATGGACGCTGAGAGATCATCTTTTTGAAACTGGAAAAGTGCAGACAACTTCTCAAAAACACTCGCACTCTCAAGACAATCAAAATCATTTTCATCTTGTGATATTAGTCCAACAAGTTTGATGGTGAATACAGTTACAGCTTGACAGGGCTTGACGCCTGCATTGTTCCAAACTTCTACTGCTTCAATCACCCATTTTTTCAGCAAAGTCCGACGAATGTTATCTTCTTGCTCGCCTAAAAATACAAGTTATCACATTTATTGCGCTTGAATGCAGGTTATGAAGAAATTTCATGCTGTTGGCGACTTGAGGTTATGAAATCCTAAAACAATAATTCAAACTTACACTTTTGCTGGTTCGCTATGTGTGTTAATAACAAATCTAAATACGTCGTTGATACGACATTGTAATTCGGGAGTAAAAATAGGCTGAGAACTTTCGATAATTTATCGTTATCTGTCTGTGGTGTCATAGTGTTTGTAATGATTTCTAATGATGGGAGAATATTATTACATTGGAGCATCCCCTTTCAAACATATTTTGAATTGCAATTGTAATTTTTTCCTATTATCTGTTGGATAAATCGAATAATCAGGGTTGATTCTAAAGTACTATCGAGATTATCGACGACGTGCACGAGTAATGCAGCCTAACGAAACCACTTAGGAGAATTGCGGATTTAATAGGTATAGAACATTTTACTCTTATTATCAATAGAATTAGAATTGAGAAGAATCATCAGAATAGAATATCACACACACAGCTCATCTTCATCACATATACTGATAAGTTAAAACCACCGGCGATTCAGTTTTATCCCCACTATTTCCAGTTGGTATCTTCTAACACACGGGTGTGAGCTGAATGGCGATCAAAACCGAAGACTATACTTTCATGCTATTACCGCACTTATATTCGCAGCTTCGGTACCCTGAAGACCTGAAGTAACAATATCAGTAGAGTGACTACGAAAAATGGTAAAACTTCGAAAATGCCACTAGATAATGGAATAAAAGTTGTCGGTGGTGGTTTATCAACAGATATGCTACAGTCGGAGTGAAAAGTAAATAAATGCTAATGTCAAATGAACATAAGGAGGTGTTGAATCATAACTACGTACTTGAAACTTCGACGAAGAGAATATTTGTAGAGTGATGAGCGGACCTATCAATATGAATTGGCTGAGTTCGGCCGAAGGAGAGTCCTTGCTGCATCACTTTTACGATCAAACGCTGAAAAAACGACGGTTCTACGGTAATTTTTAATCATTAGTCTCTACTAAATCTCCAGGCTTTTTTGATGTTCAAGTTATGCTTTTTGATTTTCAGGAATTCTAGAGAGACCAGCGTTACCATCATCCATTGAAGAAGTTAATTATAAAATTTTTATGATTGGGAGACCGGGTGTTGGAAAAACGTCGGTGGTCGCTCGATTTCTCGGGATTGCTGGGAGCGAGAATGTAACTTCGGAAATTGGGGGAATTCGAAAGACAACTGTCTATTGGCCTGTAAAAATTTGGGATAAAGTTGTTTTGTTTAAATTAAGTTTTTGGGATACTTCGGAAAGCAGTATAAAGAAATATAATCATGTTCTGCCTGTGAGTAGATCCTTCATAGCAATGATTTAGGAAAGGGAAACATTTTGTTTTTGGTGGAATTAATTAATTAATTTAATGAATACTGTGTATGTTTCAAGGCATGTAAAGACAAAGTGGATGCCATTTGCTCAGTATTTTCCTTTGAAGATTCAGCGAGCTTCACCGACATTCCATACCTCATGAACTCCATGAATGGCATCAAAGAGAAACCTGCAAAAGTAGTAATTGGAACAAGATACAAACCCTGGTCAACATTATCAGTAACTGACATCCAAATCAAAGAATTCGAGAACAAATGGAAGATGAAGGTAATTAAGATCGACGTTAATAAAGCCTCAGCGAGACCGGAGATCTTCGACGTTGCTTATCAGTTGAATTCACTCTGTAAATCATTATGGAATAGAGATCAAGAGTTTATCACTAAGCAAATTATTCAGGTTTGAGGTAAAATGTTTCAGTTCTTATTATCAGATTTTTATATTTTTATACAAACAATAAACGAAAGTGTCTCAATTTTCTTCAACAACATATCATTCAATTATCCAGATTCTTAATTCCATCAGGACGGTGACAATTTGGCAAGTGGATCGATTAAACAGTAAAGACCGACAATTGATGAAATCAAGCCCAAAAGACCGATAGTTCCTGGATTTAATTTAGTGTATCCCAGTGCTGTCATCGGAATGAAGAAGTCACACCCATTTTTTAAAATATCCAAAAAAACGCTCTTATGATTTTTGGAGTAACACAAAATCATTGACAGCAAGTCGTGGATGGATAAATTAATTTTGTAGTTATGATGCAGACTATTCTGATCAATTATTTGCATAATTTCGTACAAATCTCTTACTAAGTTCATAACAATAGTAAATAACCAATATTTATTAGCCACTGTTGTCCACTTCTCCAGATTAATTCGAAATAATCCTGCTCGTCCAATCCATATTATATGGTCAGCTAATAGAAATAATCCATTAGCTATTTTTGAAAATGTCAGTGTAAATCTAATTACTAAATCTGGATTTTTAATTGTCGAGAGAGCCGAATATAGACTATCAAGACTTCTCCCAAAGCGCAGTACTGAAATCATTGCATTTTTTTCTATTATTACTTTATTTCGAGAGCGAATAAATCATTAAAACCTCTTACATTTTCTGAAGGAGCTAAACGTGTACTCTAAGCTCTTCAAAATATCCACAGAATTCCTGGTGGTCTCTCCATTTTGCAGGAGATACCATCCGGCACGACTTCCATACTGAAAAAACCTGGAATATGTATTATCAATATCATTTAATAAGCCTCCATTTGGTGATATCTGATTGACGACGGGATATCGGACTAACCTGGCAATTTTATCTCTACCAGCACTTTGGTTATTCACTTTTATCAATAGATCCATACTCATCACGTTTTTTCAGAGCAATGCAGGATAGGTGCCTGTGCACTTTGTCTTGTGACCTTTGATTCTTTGACAATTTTTCCTTCATGTCAGGAGTACCATTATTGTTTACATTCGATTACATCATTTCTGACGGATATTCAGATATTTCACTGATTGATGATAGGAAAATTTGAGATTGACAATTTTCCGCATGAAGTTCCGATTACCTGATAATTTTCTCGGAGGTCTCCAGTTATTAATTTTCAAGCTGCAAGTTGTCGACAAACAATCGTAATTTAGGCGTCCTATATGTTAAAAAATTACATCAGTAGCGACATCGTATCAACGTTCCAAGTAACAATAACACTTAACTACATTGACGCAAACAATGTTCAAGTTGTAACGTGCTACACACGGTTAGTACCTACTGTCAGTACTGTCAGCTGATTTTTCACAACATTTTTTAACTAATTGGGTTTATTTGTAGCATTTTCCCTCCACTGTTCACACAAATGTTTTAAAGTGCATAATAACTCCTGATTCATCGAAAAAATAATAAACATCCAATCATGAACGATTCGGAGCAGGAGGAGACAGTGGCTCAAAAGAAAGTACCAAAATACGGCTTTAAAGTGCGATTGGATCATAAGTACCCCGAGAAATGGACTCAAGGTGCCAGACCAAGATTGCGACAGTTGCCGCCTTTAATTCCCCTGGGAATTCGGTGAGAGCATGACAATAATTTGAGAAAATTGTTTTCCTCCCATAAGAAATTTATTTTATCCCCCTAGAGATTGGAAAGTATGATTCTAGCCTCGCTTCGCTCGGTTAGATCGCAGTTTCCAGTCCCTATGAGAAACCATCGTGTGCCTCACGGAAATAAAGTATTTTTTGACTCATGTCATTATAACCCTCGCTTTCAGTTCGGGTTATAAACTCACATTTCGTCAGAAAATACTTTACTCCCTAGAGGCACGTGGTTTTACTTACAGGTACGGGCTTTGACCATGTAGAAGGTTTTGTACAGGCGCTGGCAATCTCCCCTATAATTTCTGATACTAGTATCATTGGTTATATCGGTGTGCATGTGAGCTGCACGTTGGTAACGTAGAAATCCCTTGGTAATATTCCGGAATACGATGCTTCCTTAGATAAAAAGAAAGAAGAGCATAATGGCTACCGTTCAAAAATCGAATCGAAGAAAGCCGAAAGAAATCAAAATGACAACTGCGAGAGTATCGAATTGAAGAAAATTGAAATCGAATGAGGACAAGCTCCACCATGATCAACGATAGATTGCGTAGTTGAGGAAATGAGCGTTAATTTCAAATCACATAATTCTAGTTGGGGCTATTGGAAGATACATTATATGGAGTACAATTTATGTGTAATTGCATACATATTGAGAAAATTATTTTCTTGGGAAAAAGGATAAATTAGAAACTATCAAGGCATGCAAGAAATGTCACGGTGAAAACTGTCAATTTGCATGAAAAAGTGTTCTAAACATTGTAAATATTTTAGTGATGATAAATCCTTCTAATTTTTGTCTTCAACGTGACTATTTGTTAAATGAAAGACGATGAATAAATTAGTTGGTCATTATTTATCACTTTTAATTTGAAAGATAGTTGAAGTCAGGAAAAAAAACATTAAAACCATTGTCCTTAGCACATTATTGAATTTTTAGAGAAAAAATTCGATTTGTAGGATGTACAGCATGCTATTTGTTTATGAACTTATATTGGTAAGGCCGTTGCGAATACGAAATAATAGTTCACGAATTTTTCCCGTCGAAAGCACGCGCATATGGCAGAAAACCGCTTTGCCGCCCGCAATGGCCAGAATATTAATTATTTATCAATAATCTGTTAGTATCAAAAAAATTCAAGAATTTGACTAGGGATCTTTGCCATTCGGTTTGAACTAATGAAAGAATAAAAAATAAAAGCTAATATTAGCGAAATTTGACGCATAAACGAGAGATGTTTCGAATGTCAGCGAAATGTGTTGGAATAAAAAAAGGAGAAAGAATTTATAAACGAATTTCGAATTTCTTAACTCACATTGATATAAAGACGTTATATAATCCTGAATCCTTCACTCCGATAGGTCAAAATGAAGATGGAAATAATATATTCCAATATAATGGGACGGGTTTTTTTACGAGGGCGAAGTTGGCAGACTGGGGCGAAAACTATGGAAAAATCTCTGTCATACATGGGTCGAATAATAGTCTTTTGTACATGATTTTATGTTTAACGAGCGGCGAATTGTGGCTTTTTTCGTTTACAAGCAAATGAAAAAGTACATTTCGGCAGGAGATGAACGCAACAGTAGTGTTCCGTATAGTATATTTCCTGGTTATTGGGACGTTCGAATCCGCGAACTTGTTTCGTATATTTCGTCATTAAACTGTTAGGAATTTTTCTGGAAATTGTGTTTATATTTCTCTGCTCGGCCTCCGACTGTAAACTCATAATCGCCAGAAAAGTTCTTAATGGCCTAAGGATGAGATATGAGATATATTATATTAGTATCCTTCTAATGTTCTAAATTAGAATAAACATATCTTTCAGATATCTCTTTTATTATGCTCAAATACGCCGTGAAGATCGCTTACCGTTGATGGACTACATAAATGTGAAGCATGGCCAACAGATTTATGGTTCGTTATGAAACATCTATTGACTCAATTAATGCACAAATTAAGGAAGATTTTATGTCCTTCCTATTCAACGTCACGTGACCTAATTGATGGAATTATCTGTTACTCTTTACGAGAAGGAGCGCCGATTGGTGGCATCGGGACTGGAACCATTGGTCGTGGGTTTAAGGGTGAATTCTGCCGATATTCGTTGGTACCTGGTATTTATCGGTATGAGACAGTGATGGCCAATCAATTTATACTAACGATCCGTGATATACAGGGAAACACTATCTATCATCAGGTTTTATCTCCTTATCCGTAAGCACATGATATACTATTTTTCGCGGATCGTTTTTTTGACTATGTGAGTGAAATATTTTTTGGGTCAATAGGAAACCGAAATACCTATCGTCGTGGAAATGGGGATTCGATGGTAGTCGGGCGAATTACACAGCTCTTTATCCACGGTCATGGACCGAGTTTTCTATTGATGAGCCGAAGGTGAGACTTATCTGTCGGCAAATATCTCCAGTCATTCCCCATAATTACAGGGATAGCTCATTGCCGTGTGCTGTTTTTGTCTGGGAAGTAATTAACGAGTCTGATCGTGATTTGGATATCAGTGTCACATTCACGTTTCAGAGTGGAATAGGAGGCAAAGTTATGTCAGGTACATCAAGAAAACATTACGATCCTTGTGACTCTTACATTTTTGAAAATATTTAGCTGAAATTTCCGCTAAAACACTGCTACCATGAAATTGACGATTTGATGAAAATTATTTCATTGAACTATTTGTAATAATGAGGAAAATTCAAGTGGTTATATTTTTGATTTTTTCGGTAATCAGAAAGTCAGTTTTATTTGGTAAATAAACAGGGAAAATCTAGTCTATCTTCGGCAGAATAATTTCGAAAATCGAGGGGGTCTTATTCATCCATGTATTGGTTTTTTTTTTTAATTGCTGCAACTTTGAAAGCAAAATTTTTTATCTGCACGGAAAAGATTATTATCAACCTTTCCTCTACAATTTCAAAAAATATTCTCTCTCTTCCGTCGAAATAGCATGGAATGACCGTTATTCATTTTTCAATTTCACAATTTGTCATTCCGTTATTTTCATTTTTCTTCCGCTGAAAAGTTATAATTTTTCACGTTTTGTTTGATCCCACTGTGAGAACGAATTCCACCAAAATTCGATGCTCCCCATTAAATCCAATACTCCGATAGGTGAAAAATGGAACGAGTGTTTCGAATACAAAAATACCTCCGGTGTGATGATACACCAGAAATTGAAGGGAATGCCATGCACGTACGCAATAGGTTCAAGAGCAAGAGAAAACGTTGGCATTTCGAGGACTCTGGAATTTGATCCACTAGGCGATGGAATAGAGTTTTGGGAATCACTCGGACGCACTGGTAAACTTGAAGCTGAACCAAGGAGGGAATCCCCAAGGAGATGTAATTTTTTGACAAGTAGTAGGAAAGCGTAGTTGATATTATCTAATTTTATTGAATTCAATGCAGTAAAAGATATTGCCTGTGGGGTTTGTGCTTCAATTCGAGTCAAAGCTGATGAAATGCAGGAGCTTGAATTTAGTATAGTTTGGGATATGCCGAAGATACAGTTTGCCGGAAAAGCACAAGAATATTCCAGGTTAGTGCAGGTGTATCTGTTATATCGTAAATATTATGTATTACCGAATTGATAAAATATTTATGACGTTAATAAAGCTATCGGAGATGTTTTTTAATGCATATTGATTTCTCTTGTACCAAAGCCAAATTTTTATGCATGTAAAATTCACCACGACATTTTGAATGTACACGTAGTAGCACAGGCAAAAAATTAATTCCTTATTCCCTGTTGAATTTTCAGGTATTACACAAAATACTTCAACAATATGGATGGAACAGTAGCCCCAGAAATTTGCGATGATGCATTGAATACCTATAGGAAATGGGAAACGAAAATCTATAGCTGGCAAAAAATAATTTTGCAAGATAATGATTTGCCAGAATGGTACAAAAGTGCTTTGTTCAATGAATTATATTATGTGGCTGATGGTGGGTCAATATGGCTGCGTATTGATGAGTCTGAAAATTTGAAATGCCTCGACATACGGTAATGTAAATGAATTAAATGAAATAATTTAATTTATTGATTTGAGCTTTTTTGTTAATAGGAGGGAATACGGACGTTTTGCATATCTCGAGGGCCATGAGTATAGGATGTATAATACCTATGATGTACATTTTTATGCTGCATTTGCCTTGGCACAATTGTGGCCACATCTGCAGGCTAGCATACAATACGAAATTCGAGATACAATTCAAATGGAAGATAATCGAGAAAGATCATCACTTTATGATGGCTCCAGGCACCTAAGGAAATTGAAAGGCTTTGTGCCACACGACGTTGGAGATCCCGGTGAGTAAAAGTCTCGTACCTTCCGTCTACATTCTTCTTGTCTCCCTATAATGCGGATAAAAAAAAATAATGATCATGGATTTTTATCGAATCCAATGAGCAGAGGAGGAGCCATTTCAAATGATAAATGCGTATCCCATCCACGACGTATCCGCGTGGAAGGACCTGAATCCCAAATTCGTTCTCAGTTGTTACAGAGATTACTGTCTATTTGGTGATATACAGTATCTCCAGGACTTTTGGCCGAGTATCAAAAAGGTACTTATTTTATCATATGTATTTGAATGTTAAATAATACGATTAATCATTACTATTACTCTTCGCGAGGGGGCAGGTTTTTTGTTTGCTCTTACCAAGATTACTCGTAAATTTTATTGCAACTGTTTGGTTCGTAAATACAGACTCTGGACCTCTGTTTGGTATGGGATAGAGATAAAGATGGCCTCATTGAAAATTCAGGATTTCCAGATCAAACTTACGATAGCTGGGTGATGACGGGACCTAGGTAACCTATATTGAAAATACTAACAGCGCGTAAATTTAATTACTGATATAATAATATTCTATCCTTCTCTCTCAGTTCATACTGCGGTAGCTTGTGGTTAGCATCGTTGCGGTGTGCTGTTCAAATAGGAAAACTTGTCGGGGATAACGAAAACGCTGCAAAGTACTCCCAAGTATTGGAAAACGGCAAATTTGCTTTTCAGGAGAAACTCTGGAATGGTTGGCTTCATATTAATATTAAATTTTCCGACTGAATAGTTATTTTTTACGTAATACAGTGCCTCGGGAAATTGTTAATTATAGGTGCTTACTATAACTTTGATAGCAGCAAATCGGATCATCGGAAAGCCATTATGAGTGATCAACTTTGTGGCCAGTGGTATTTGCGGGCCTGTGGCTTCGAGCATGATGTAAGTAACGGTTTTAGGCTATTCTCATCAGGGTCATTTACGCGTGATATTGTTTTCGACAAACCACACTACAATTCCCTATCGCTGAACTGTTTCAACTAAATTTCGGGAGTTAAATTTATCTATAATTGGTATTATGCACATTACATTGTCTAAACATTAGCTTCCGTCTACATTTTCGTTTCATGAATGAATAAACAATAGTAAGTTATGCTCCAAGGGCTTAAAAGCATTTTGGCCACGTATTTTATCGTATACGTTATCAAATATGTTGCTAAAATGGTTTTCACACCGTGTGGCATATGCTATTTTATGTTACGAGGTCCGACTAATCGAGTATTTTTATTGTCCTAGGAAGGTGGGTAAAATTGAAGGCTTATTGCGGCTAGTTACCTTCCTAAGGCAATAAAAGTACAGGGTTAGGGCGGGCCGAGTCATATAAATAGGAAATTATTCAATAGAAATAAATGAGGTATTTTAGTAAAGAACTATGATCGCTAGAGTGAAAGAATAATTGGGCATCACTTATTATTCATGAAAAAATGTGTCAGTTACGGATAGAGATGGATGGAGATCTACATCCCAATTATTTTAGCGATCTTTTTCAAAGAGTAAACTACATTAAATGGTGATAGGTTTTGGGATGGTGTCTAACGGTTTGAAATTAGAAATTAGAAATCAAGTATAGGTTTTACATAGTTGTGATGATAGTGTCGACATTTGTATTCAAGAGGATTCCTGCCTTCTTATTATTTTTTATGATATTTTTGTTTAGTGAACATTGCTGTTGAATAATTATTCTACCTGGTTTATCATTTTTTTAATAATTACACATCTCACATCGCAGTGTCTGGAAGCTTTATTCATCTGTCCGGGTATATTCGCTAATAATGCCACAGCTAGTTCGATTTAAAAGTGTCTATGTTGAAACTTCGAGCGGTGTGCGCGGGTAAAAACGAATTTTCAGGAAAGCATGGCAGCTGATATATGAAACAATCAAATGATAAGAATACAATTCAGAAACGGTGTATTCTCTCGCACTAATTAGAAGTAAATTATGTTTTTTTTTTTAATTCAGGTTTTCCCCGAGGAGCATGTGAATTCAGCATTGCGCACAATATTTGCGAATAATGTTTTGAAATATAAGAATGGCAAACAAGGCGCAGTGAATGGCTTCCTTCCAACGGGATCCATTGATTATATGACGATAATGAGTGAAGAAATGTGGGTTGGTGTCACTTATGGACTCGCTGCGTTAATGATTCATCAGGTACTGCAATATATTTTGATGAAAGAATAATGAAAACTAATCAATGAAACTCATTGCCACTGTTATGGGTTAATTATAGGGAATGGTTGATGAGGGGTTTTGTACGGCCGAAGGTGTATATCGCACTGTTTACGAGAATATCGGAATGGGTTTCGAAACGCCCGAAGCACTGTATGAAAACAATTATTATCGAGCTATTGGCTACATGCGACCTTTGGCAATTTGGGCTATTCAACATGCATGGAACATGAGAAAGAGAGTAAATGAGAACTAGGAGCTGCCAAATTGAATTCCAAAATCTATGGTTTTTTTGTTTCTGTGTATTAATTTTCAGTGAATCCGGATGATTATGGATACTGAGGTTAGCACAGAGTACAGGACGTTAATCGAATGAATTATTTTATAATTTAATTATACTCACTTTGCATAAAAATTCTTCCATGGATTTATAGATTCCATATATTCGCATTTCCAATTCAATGTGACTTGGCATTATTTGATATTGAATATGGACGTTTCCATGGAGAATTCAAGGAAGTCGAGAAATTCTCAATTTTTTGCTTCCTGAAATTTTGCATTCCTTCGAAGTGGGTATCTCGGTAGACCTTCAGAACTTCCGGAATAGTTTCTGGAAGGTTAGTTTCAAACGAGATGATAAGTTTTATTCAGCGAACGGAGATTTTATTATAGATGTGTAATGCATCAAACTCAGCCATTTCCATGTGGACAATTAATAATCGAAAAAATGTTGAATAATTATTGCATTTTTTTTATCATACGATTTTTTGCAATTTTGCATATGTACTGTTTATTAAAGTGGAGTTTTTTCAAAAGAACATTGGTTTATTATTCTATTTAATATGTGATTTGAGGTACGAAGCTTGATCGAGTCCATTCAAATATCTGTCAGTTTAAACTGCAAGGGTGAGGCTATGGTATTAATAAATCCGCTATTTATCTGAATCGGAGGATTGGGCCATTCTATCGAAAAGTTTTTCAACAATCGTAGTACGAGGATTTCAATTTCCATTTCGGAAAATCGCCTGCCAATACACGTGCGAGGCCCAAAGCCGAAAGGCATGTATGCGAATGGATGCGCCTCTTTAGCTGATTTTATCGAAGCCAATGTGTTCTCCCTTAACCACCTTTCGGGGATAAACTCATGGGGTTGAGAGAAGTGCTCAGGGCTTACAGCTAGTACACTATGAGAGGCTATTAAATCACACTGAAAAGCAAAATTTTCTAGTTGAACTTATCGAATTGAGTAGAATCTATTTAAGGTGATGAATATTTAAATAATCTCACCCCATTGGGAATTCGATATCCACCAATGACAGTGTCCTTTTGCATAGTTCGGAGATTACCAATTGCGATAGGAGTTAATCGAAGTGCTTCTTTGATGCAAGCTTTCAGGTAAGGTATTTTATTCAAAACGTCATATGTCATTGGTGATGTTTTCTCAGGGAGCACATTTTCCACTTCCTCGCGTAATTTTTCTTGCACACGTGAATTTATTGCTATGTGGTACACCACTGTTCCTGCAGCATTGCCGGTCTGAAAAATCCTTCCACTAAATAATGGCTTTTCAGGATAAATTCAGAGTACAAATATATGCAAGCAAATACACACCGTATCGACTCCTGCTGTGAACATATCAAGTGCCATTATGTATGCCGTTTGTTCGTCAATGCTCAATAGACTCTCCAGGACGCTACGCTCGTCAGCTCCCTTTGGCCATTTGGAAAATCTTATTTGCGCTTTGTCAATGTGTTTGCTGGCAATTTCATTTATCAAATCCAGCACACCGAATAATTTTTTTAATTTTCTTGTCTCAAAGACTCGCCACAGGGAGGGGAGAACTTCGAGTTGATAAAATAAGGCGAACATCTTGTGAATTGCATTTATCATTCTTTGAGGATCCGAGTCTGACGCGAGATTATCGTTTAAACAGCCGAGCCGCTCATCCAAGGCTATTACGCAAATCGCTAAAAAAGTTCTTTCTTATAATAATGACAATTTGGGATAGCGCTTATGCTTAGATATTTTTCATTCACAAATGACAGATTAATATAATCATGTGATGAAGTTGTTATAATTCAGCAATATTTGGTAATTCATAAAGGATAAATTAGGCCATTTGAAAATGATTTTAGTGCGAAGAGATTAAGCGTTTCTATAAAACGTGGTTTGTCACAAATCAGGGACTTGCTTCAACGATTGAGGGAAAAACTTTCCCATTATCAACGAGGATTTACGACAGCAGGATGCAGATGGTACTCGTTCAAAGAACTCTAGTGACAAAAAAAAAATTTTTTTTTCTAAATGTGTGAGTGAGTGCACATGTTTGTCCCAGGTGATTAATAAAAACTTGTGGAGCATTTTCTCGCGCACTTACACTCGAGAGCCCACTTATTCATCTCGTTGTTGAACGTGGTAGGCAGTTTCAAAGTTTTTACATCTCGGAGTTTTCGTATTCTCGTGATAAAGTCACTGGCAACTTCGTCGACTTGCACCACGTGGGGTTTGATGCTCCTCGGCGACATCATATGCTGGTTGACATTCTTGCGAAAGTTGTACCAAGCCTCACCTTGGCTGTGAATGATAAATTTGGAAAATAAACTATTTCATTTGGTTCCAGGGATGATTGTCTCAAATGAATTTGAAATTTTATTCACCTTGCTACCAGCCCGTATTTGCCTTTGTAGAGATGAGAATTCCGCTGACGATATTTCGTCATAGTTTGAATTGCTACTCGCATCGGTCGTGCACCTTCCACTCGGTACATTTTTTCACAGTCCTCAGCATTGAATAAAAATATGCAAGCTCGTCGACCAGGTATGCCCTCCAATTTAACAACATCTCCGTACTGTTTCTTTAGCATCAACATTTGGTCGAATGCAGATAAATTTGCATAATCACCTAGTGAAATTGTCCATATTAATTATTCAAAGGGAAATTACGGTAAAGTGAGATCCCTCTAAAATTTAACATGTTAGATCAATAATACTGCATTCTGTCATCCTGAATAGAATATCGTAATTGAAGTATAACGTTGGAAATGATCAATTGAAACTCTTGGTAATTAAACTTGAACGGTTGAATATTGACAGAGTGGCATAATTTTTTTTCACAGTGAGAGAGTTTAATTTATTATAACAAATGATTGAATGATTGAATTGAAATGAATTGAATTATTTCTATTGATCCAAGCGCAAAACAGATGAAATTTCTGTTATTACTGTCATCCATTATCTTATCATGAATGAGGGATAATTTCGTTTGCACAGAAATACTCCCTCGGAAATTGTTGGAAAAGAATTTCGTTGACTTTACCACACGTTGCTGTTAATTTTCTCCGTTTAATTTATAATGTAGCAATTTACCAATGAAGGGCATGAATTTAATCATGGTTCCAAGAATCGGTAGGGATTTAGGTCCGGGTATACTATCGTATGGCGTTGCCTGCTCCCACGTTAATTTTCCTCTTTGATTAATATGCTCAACCGAGCAACCTGCAGTATTTGCATACGGCTTCATTGAAGTTATGTCCCTCGCTAGATCTTTGAATCTCCTCACTAGCATCTTGGAAACCATTGTTACTATTCACTGAGTGGCCGCTTATTAGCTGAGAAATTTAATTCATCTATTCACGTTTCGTAATCATTAGTTCATTAACTCGATATATCGAATTGTATACAATAGAAGTTTCCAATGCTCACGATAGTAATTCATTACTCACCAAAGCATTTTGATAATGTGAACTCGCTTAATGCGCTCACCAATCAGTTCACGGATCGCCTTCTAGAGAAGGTTGACACTCAATAAATTTATGATAGAGTGATTATAAGGCATTCCTTCATGCCAAAAACATCGACAAGCGCTAACTCTAATCGGAGAATGAAAACCGAACTTTGGACGATAAATGATTTTTCAACCAACTCACAGATAAAATCGGGAACTTCGCAGTGTGTACGTGGTAATCGTTGCATTGACACTGACGAACCAACTGCAGACTGTGACACGATTACTCAAGCAGGAAAGCGTTAATCAAAGTCGAGGGAGTTTCATCTCACTATAACTTGACGGTGTATGCATGTAAAGATAGATTTTTCTATCAAATAAATTTCTAGATTTTTCTGCAGAATTGAATGAATTTGTTTTTATGCAGAGAAACTTGAGGAATATATTCGATGAGATGTAAAGCGCGAGTGCTATTCGAAAGATTAATTTTTCATCCGGATTTCAGCGAAGCAGAGTGCAGTAAGTCAATTTTGTCATCTGTCACATAAAATATCCAAATTATTGAAAGCATTGAATAGTCATAATTACACGAATCGATTAATTGATTAATTGATGATGCTACTCGCAAATAGACGTCAAAATGAATTCAATTTTTGGTAATATCACACTATGGGAATCATATACGTTTTTCCTATTGATCACTTAAACTGAAAAAAATATTTTCGACTGCAGCAAACTTGGCTATTATTCCAACGGTATCCTGATAGGTTGTTAATAGAGCATTGTTCGTTCCAGCACATTGAAGAAGAGAATGTCCTTAAGATGAATCTGGTCTAGAGACAGCTACATCGAGACCCCTCCCTTCCCTTCTTTTTCATTTGGTGTCGTATCCCAGCGATGAATACATTTGCACCGGAAAAGCGAGTGATTTACTGATTTATGCCATTCAGGTAACCACAAAATTTCTATGATTATTCAATAATTAATACTAATATCAATTAGATCTCAATTGTGGAGAATTGTGGAATATGTACCTATTATTTGTAATTGACATTAATTGGTCATTTGCAATATATTAGCTTAATTAAAATTTGCAAAAGTAATTTGAGGATGAGAGTTTTCCGGCTGTGAAAAGGGTCCCGTTGATAAATCACCTGTCCGGTGATTACATCATGATAAAATTGGCGACGGCTGCGATTGTTTGGTGTTTAGAGGGAGAAGGCAAGAGGCGGATTGATTAACGAGTTTGTAAACCTCATTTTGTGGGCTCTGGCTCTTATTCAAGGAAATGTTTGATTCAACTGTAATTGATTAATTTAATTAGATGCAATAATGCCCCCGCCGTTTCTATACGGTACGAGGACAATTGCTTGCTGCAAATGAAGAGGTATATGGGACCAACGGTGGTTTCCAGGGTATTGCAAATAAACACAACCGAAGCAGTAGAATCAATTGTAATTATAGCGGGCATTGGCAATTAATAAGACGATAAATGCATAAATAGAGGTAGATCGTATAGGGAAATGGACGAGCAATTTCCTCATGACATTCTCTCGATACATGGTTTCTTGATGTAAATACCGAGCATCATTGGTACTGGGTAGATCTATGGATTCAAGAACATCAAGGCCAAATACAGGATAAGGATGTCATAACCCCGGTGGCTACATATTGGCAGGGATCCTCGGATGCTGACGGTCTTGAACAGGTCTTTGGGAATCCAAACCCCTCTCTATCGTATTTGACTTCATCAATGAGGGATCCTATTAGTCACACATAATTGGACATCTGTCGTTCATACCTTGACGAAAAGTATATGTGGGAATTTTTTCATAACTCAAAGTGTCTCCAGTCTCATGGGGTTTCATTTCATGCACATTCAAATTGATATTTGTGGTGGAATATTCCAGATATTTGTCAACATGTTTATTCTGTAATCGAAATGTAAAACTTCAAATTTTACAATTTTTCAGTTTCAATTATTGGGATAAACAAATTTTTGTGTATCATAACCCAGGTGGGAAATGTCCATGCTGACAATGGAAACAAGGCAGATTCAGGATTGGAGATCGAGACTGGGAGACCCAGCATTGAACCAATCTTGATTCCATCGTTGAATCCTATATTGATCTAATTTGAGCCGTACATGCTCCTTCGAATCTTGATCCAATCTTGAAACAGTCTTGTTCTTCCAGGCTAGAGGGCCCAAGATAGAATGAAGCTTGATTTCATTGTCGAATCCAAGACTGATTCAAATTTGGACGTAAATGTTCCATTCAACATCGTCATATCTCAATCCATTGAGTAATGGATGCTAACATAGGAAATTGTTTAAATAAATACTTGTGAAATTTTGAAAGTTTTTTGAATTTGGAAATTTTGAAAGTTTTTTGAATTTGGAAATTTTAAAAATTTATAGAATACTGAAATTTCAGTAGAAATTGTAATAATTTGGAAAATTTGGAAAATTGCGATTTTCCTCATAAATGACTGTAATAGTATATTAGGGCCAGAATAAGGGTTGAGATAACAGTTATAAAAAAGTAGAAAGTGAGAAGTAATATCATGGTTAAGAGGATTCATTGGATGTCAAGCGATCACCAAAGTTAAGCAACACCGACTCGGGATAGTAATTGGATGGGTGATCGCTGGGTAACACCGGGTGCGGTGGACCATTTTTTTTTTTTTTGATAATTATCAGGTTCATAAATTACGTACCTCAATGCAACCCCTTATATTCTACTAAAGTATTCCAAAAATTTATAAATGATTAATTAATTATTGGGGAATTAAAGGGTAATTCGAAGAGTTGATCGAGAATTGTCGGTCAAGCCTCGATCGAGGCTGAGAATTCCAGCCTTGGCCACTTAGTTATTTTTCGAACTTCAACCAAGCTTGATTCAAGCTTGAGAATCGAGGCTCGATCTGCCTTGGTCAAGCTTCAATCAAGCTTGATCCAATCTTCATTCCATCGTCCATTCGCACCTGGGAACCCTTCAAAATACGGTAAAAATAAAATAGGAGAGGGTCAGGCTAAATATACACATAACAATTGGTTTTTTATTGCTGACCGCATCGGCCAACTGTTCTGTGTGATCTTAATTTCGTAATATCGACATGAAATTTATGAGAGGGCGGTGTTGCGACATTTTCGAGGGGATTTATATTATTATTAACATGCCACTAATTATGGAGTTTGGTTTAGTGAGTTTTCATTACTGCATTGTAGTTACTCCATAGAATTACGTTCCATGATCATCACCGCTAGGGAAATATTGTTTTCCCGACTACATCAACAATGTAAAGCATAATGTTTAACTCATTCTTTTCAATACAATAGCCGTGAGCGTGAATCATACGCAAGCCACATGTTCGACCACCCGAACCATCCATTTTAGCGAGATAATAATGAATGAAGATACCTGTCTGTAATAAAGAATTTTTAGGGAAAACGTGTGACCGCCTTAACTTTGATTGAAAATGGCTGTAGAATACGCTCTCAACAGCATTAAAAAAAAATACATTTTAATATCTTACCGGCGAGAAAAAATAGAATAAGTGAGAACTTCGTGATTGATTAATTTGTGATCTATATACAGGTCAGTGTTAATACTTTAGTATATGGCTATATATATATATATATATATATACGTGAACCTTTCTGCGCGCCTAATATGCGCCAGAGAGTTTGCATGCCAGTATAATTTCACTGAAAATCCTATGAAGAATGATAATTCCAATTGTCTTCTAATCCCATTTATCGTATTGACTATTTTTTCATAGTTCTGTTCTATGAATAATGATGATTAAGACTAAATTAAATCGTAATCAAACATTTTGGCTGCTCTCGTATATTTCTTGTTCGATTTTTCAACTACACGGTATTTAATCGATAGAAAGTAATGATCAAATGGAACTATCATTACTGTTATTCTCTTAAATTACATTTTCCGAAGTTTGAGACCATGCAAAGTATGAGTAATCAAAGAAAAACACATACTCTTTACGATTCAATTCATCACATTTATTGTCTTCTAGGATTTATGGATAAATCAACTGATATTTTAAAATGGAGTATGCATAAAGGTTAAAAAAAATGTAAACTTAAATTTGTCGATCGGCTAATTGTTTCTGATGTTCTTGTTGACTCATAAACAAATTATTCGTCAATAGTGTCTGTGCACTTGATTGGGGGAAAAATCGACGGACAAATGGATACTCCACTGTGGCGTCATTCAATTAAGGGCTTGTAAAAGTTTTAATCGCTCGTTTCCCCAGGAATAGTGGCCCGACAAATTGAAAGGCAAACTAGAAAGTTTGCTACGATAGAATCCGGTTAGTATAGACTTGGATATGTACGTGTAGGAAAAAAGGGAAAACGAAGGGAAAGGTGCACGGATCTGTCAACATTTCGACGATGCGAAGACATTAATTGATCTTCGATCGACCCTCAACTCCTCCACCAACGATAGACCGTTGTCGTAGTTCATCGATTGAGCTCGTTACTGAAACTTTTAACTCGAATCGCTTCTCACCGGAGAAAAAAGTAGATGAGGTAAAAATCGAGAGAAGAAATAAATAATACCATCACGAAATTCACGTGACGGGCTCACTAATCTATTTTTCATTATGCGACAGGTTTTTTGCGGTAGCGGTGGTATATAAGCGAATGAGTTGGATTCTACCAGCGAACTGTAGAGTTTTTTCCCTTCCAAATTTTCTTTTGGATGATAATTTTGGTATTTTTATCTGTTGAGTGACAACATGAGATGGAACGGTAGACAGAGGAAAAAAACATTGAAATTAATTTATTGATAATGGTGGAATTTGTCCGTCGAAGTACATAGTTTCCTGAAAGCCATGCCTTGAAGCATACGAGGTGGAAAGCAGATCAGTTAAAATGCAATGGGAGAAAATAAAATCGGTATGCATAGAGTAACAGCCATTATCATTTGGAGAAGCACATTCGCTATCGATTCCGAATCTGTCCCAATTTGAAGCACCAGAAAGAAAGTGATGTTCGAAGCTAGGGTCACGCCATCTCATAATACCATTTCACAAAGTCGGAGAGGATATAAGCTCGCGTGGATGTGAAGAGTAAAAGCAATCTTGACCTACGTATCTATGCTAATGAGTATATTAGGCGATTCTACTTTACGTGGTCGTATGCTAATGATTCCACCTTCACCATCACCCCCCTATGCATATTTATTGCATGCGTTGCACGTGGAGAAATGCATATGTTGCCGCGCTATATTAATGCGAACATTCAGCAGAATGAGAGAATGAGATGGGTAAAACGAGATGGTGTAAGACGTGAATGAAGCCAAATAAACGCCTCACGGTATCATTTGTGCATTCGCCAACGGCAAACGAGTTAAAAAAAATATTTCCATATTTCCATTGTGTTGCGCTTTGTATTTGGGCATTAGCCTTTCATGCCTTTGCGCATTTGAATATATACCAATTTTCTTTTTATATGCAGGTTGACGATTTGAATCTTTCAAATGATAAAATTCTGCGTTTATACGACGAGGAAAAAATTGCATTGAGTAAAACAGGTTTTGCCAATTTAGGGATAGTTACGTGCTGAGTGTAGATGGCACCCCACATTGACCGATTGAAAAATTTGACTGCATGTTCGAAGCAGATTGATGCGCAGATGATTGTAATAACAATTTTGTCGTTTGTAGTTACACCAGAATTCATTTTTTAAATACCCTAAGGACAAAGTTAATCGATAGGTCGCCGACACTTGGTTTTCCGAGACGAAAGACGAAAAATTTCAATTGGCGGGATATATACTGATAGATCATCATAAACTTTTAAATGATGCAAGAATTATTACCGAGTGCCTCGGTCGTCATCCTAATAGCGTATCGAAAATGAAAAGTTGTTGATTGTAGTGCAACCATTTTCATAGTTTCCAGAAGACTAACATCTTTATTTATCAATAACTCACCAACAAGGGTTAACTATAGACTAGATTCTAATAGGTTGGCGAAATAGATTAGATATTCGAAACGAACGGACCAGTAGATCATTGTAGTAATAATTTTTTTATAAGTAGCCGCCAGGTAACTTTAAAAATAATTTTTCAATTGACAGTAAAGAGAAAATTCAATAAGGCATTGCCGTATAAACGATATTGCGAACCTTAATGATTTGTAATTTTTTGTAGTTGCTGTATGTTGTTGTTGAATTGTTGTTACTTTTTTATTTTTATAGTTTAAGAAAAACGAATTTTTCTGCTTTTTAATAAGTCACCGATAAGAACGACATGTATGATTCTAACTGATTCAAAATTGCAATCATGTTTTCAAAGCAAGTTACCACGTAGAAAATTATAGTAGTAATTCCTTAATTTGTAGTTGAGCGATCTCTTTAGGATTGACGATTAAACTGCTTTAAGGACAAAATTGATACATGACTCGCCGGATACTTGATAGACACAGTCTAAATGATTCGTAGTTTTTTGTAGTTGCTGTAAAATTTTTATCCACGTAACAAACTTTTATAAATCACGAATAACCACAGAATGATTTTAAAATTACTATTGAGAATTTGGCTCATATTTTGACATAAAGAAGAGTGGAATGTAATACATTCTAGTAAAAACATTTTCATAGTTTGTGAGGAACAAATATTTTTTTAGGAATAACTTCACTAATTCCATTGTATTTTGTAGTTCGACATTGTGTTAATGCTCTGGGAAGGAGAAATTTAAAAGTATTGAGTTAAGGAGAAGATAATTATTGCAATAAAATAACTTATCATTTTATTACAAAAATGGTTTATTCTGATATAAAAAAGAAAATGATCGAATCTTTTTGTTTTTAGTTCTAATTTGACCAATTTTGGAATTTGCGACGAACTAGAAATCCCATCATGTAATTCCTACAAATTGGGAAGTTTGTTATTTGTTAAAATTAGTGGTCGATAATGTTCTGCAATAAATTCAATAGCTTCGACTAATTTCTAGGCTTTACCACCAAAGTTTAAACAGATTGGTAAATCTGTGCGTGATAATTGTTTTTCATAGTCTTCGTGGTACTTTTGGTTCCTAGCAAGACTGTCACATTGTAATGCTTCTGAGTCACTAAAAAGATGATTACTATGTTTGAAGGAGGTTGTTCTCTCTGCTTTCCAAGTTTTACACGGTTCTGAATATTACCGATTAAATTCACGATTCTTGAAAGCCGGCTATACCAGTTTTGTACAACGGAATCAGATCAATGTTCAAAGCTGTTACATTTCGTGAGGTTCGCTTGTTTCAACCACGACAAGTTCTAATTGTGGTGAGGGAAGGTACGTTCTTCAAAATGTCATCTGCTACATTACTAATATTAGAATCACAGTCAACCAAATTAATTTTTGGCACTTTGAACCCGAGTACCATTTCACCTCGTGCCTTATAAACTTTAACTCTGGTTCCCATTATGGACAAGATTTTGATTGTAGCCATAGCCCCATTTTCGATTTTCCAATGATAAATAAATTCGTGGTATGAAATCCTATCGATGTATGGAGCACATAGGCAATGAAGTATTGAGTCGACACTACAAGTATTTGTGAATTTCATGAGTCCCGTTGAAGTATTCACTGGTGGCATACTGGAGCCAATAATTAAAAGTGATAGTTTTTTCAGTCTTTTCTTCAGTTGCATGTATATATTCTCAATATCAGGGCAACACTCCAAATAAATACTTTTCGACTTTTTCTTCCGAAGCATTCCTTTCCAATTGTTCTGTTCATTTAGGTACGAATTCTCATTTGTCGAGGAGATCTCTTGCAATAATTTCCCAATGATCACTGGCTTAGTCACTTGTCCTGGCTTATTAGGCGAATCATCTATGATAATGAGATCGAATGAGTGCCGTACTCGCGATGGGAATGTCGTTCAGCAAGGGAGATGAAGAGTGAACAGGACTTCCATTATTCCTGCTAATATTTGGAATACTACGGAAATAGAATTTTGAGTAGTTTGTGCTAAGGGGTCATTTGTCAGGACCGATGAAATGATATAGCTATATCGGCGTCATGTCCATATCATCGCGTGTAGTATGAGATTCTGTTGAGGATGATAAGATACTTTCTGATTGCGCAGAATGATTGTTGTTAATAGATTTCCTAGTACGCATTCCGGAACCCAATAAGTTAAGAGTACCACTAAGCGTATTCAAATGATGAAGAACTACTACTAAGTCCAATCTCAACTTTGTTTTTTTCTGTATTATGTATTTTCAAAAATCTTTAAAGTATTGCTCACTCCGGGCGGATGATGCTCTTTCACCTTCTTGTATCTGGTGATGTTTACTTTGATATAATCGAGGCAACACATGCGTCCAAAAAACAAATTTTCGAGACAGCTCTAAAATTTTATCTTAAGCTTAAGATTATCTAGAATTCAACATTCATGTACTAATTCACATCTGCTTTCAATGTTACACTTTGGCGAATTGTCAATTCTATGTCTTGAATGAACGATGTTATTCCATTTTTCTTTTGACTGTCATCGTAATCATCAAAATCGCTATTATCTGCACACATATCCTCCGGATTTTCCTTGTATTGATCACCTGCGAAATTACACACTATTAAAATTGCTGAATTGACAGGTCAATTCCATGTAAGAATAAGAAGTGGGAAAGCCACGCCATAATTTCCACCAATTAAAAATCAATCCGTGTAACTTACACGAACCGATCTACTCCCCAAAATCCAAATTACAACACTGTCTAGAAGCAACCGTCGGAGCGATAATTTGACTTGGTGAAAATTACTTACGGAATCGATCTGTCTTTCCGAACCTCCCACACAATAATTAGTAAAGAGTCGATATTGTGCGTGGTAACCTATCGAAGAATAGTAGATAGCTACAGGACGAAAGTGTATAGGGATGCTGCATCCTACAATCGAAAGTAGTAGTGTTTCTTGAATTTTAAGAGGAATAATCGATGGCTACGCGATTGTGGACATTCTCAATCAAAACTATCCAAAACTTTGTTTTAACTATACGCAAGTGGATGAAAGTGATGCAATAAGAAGTATTCATAATACGATCTGAGAAAACACTCATTCTGGTGAAGAAGTGTTTGTGTTACCGAAGGATCCACGATCTAGGAACATAAGGATTAAATTACCAAATACCAAGAAATAGTGAGTTAGAGATTTGAGTACTTTCAAGTTTTTGAAATCCAAAGTAATCGGCTATCAAAATTTTATAAGGAACTTTCATGAGAAAACTCCAACTTTCTTACAATTTCCCACTGCAATGTTGGTAAGTCAATTCTGCACGAAATTCTAGATAATAATTTGAACTTTCACTTTGTATGATCCATGAGTGTATATAACGTCAATTAGAATTTTTCTTCAATTACAATAAGCTACAGATTATTCCGTCTCAGAAAACCAAGTGTCGTGCGACCTATCGATTAATTTTGTCCTTACGGTATTTAAAAAATGAATTCTGCTATAATGGCTTAACTACAGACGACAAAATTGTTATTACAATCATCTGCGCATCAATCTGCTTCGAACATGCATCAAATTTTTCAATCGGTCAATATGCATATATCTGTAAAAATTATACTTCGTGTAGATGATAGAATGGATTACATATATGGAATAGAGTGCTGACTGCATTAAATTATGTTGCGTTTAAAAGCGGAAAGAAGAAAAAAACGAAAAAAGTTGGATTCTTAGTTTTGAAAGTAATTGTCAGACGGTTAATGATAATACTGTACTGCTAGCTGCCACGAGGAGACACTAATTCAATAAAGAGAACAATTGCAGAAGTAGGCAACGAGACGTGTCGTGATGGCTCCTGAACTCATTACAACGAAAGATATATAAGCGACCAAAGGGGTTCGCGCTCCGTCGCGTCGTTCACCACTTGTTACTAAATACTTTAGAGGAGCGACGTAATGAGTGAAACATGCGATACACTTTTCACTTGGGTAGAGAATCATGTTAAAGTTTTCGGAAGGGGTGACGTAAGGGGGAGAGAGCAGGGATAGGCTGGGTTGCGGTTGTCATCGGCTCCTTTGGTACCATCTGCACGAAGGTTTTCACCTTGAAAGTTTCGATGTACCCACTCAGCGATTCTCGAGTTTGTTACTCTACTTTATGGTACAAAGCAAATTTCTGAGATAATGGCGGGGTGATGTTGTCCTCTGACACTGCGAGTTTGGCGGCCCGTTGAGTGAATTGGGGAAATTAAACGACATCATGCATCCAATTTATATGGAAATTAAACATATCTTCATCACGAAGATTAAACAGCATATGATGAATGAATGAAGCTGCGGAAGGTGGAATATTAATCAATGTATTGTATCATTCATTGTGAAGGTAGGGAAGTAGTGGGATTTGTTTCACTGCGACGCGACAGGTCGGATGGTTGAGTGAAAGGCCTTGAAGTGAAATTACATGGAATGAAGGATTCGAGCACATCAGGATCGGAGAGCGGGAGCCATCAAAAATGAAGATATGTCTCTGGTATGTTGCGTTACGTGGCCTTGCTCTCGTTGATATAGTTGAGCATTACGAAATAAGCAGAGGTGAAGAATACAATTGCTGCATTTATAGGATGCTCATCGTCTTTCATCTGCGGAAGATGAATAACGCTTCAAGTACGCTAAGGTGTGGGTTGCTCGGAAGTGTGCCGAAGGACCCACCGAAGCATTCACTTTTATTTCGCGGTATATACGCAAAATAACCACCACCCTGGCTGCTTCTCCCAAAGATGCTCAAACAACACCTCTATAAAAGAAGAGTCTCATCATGATATGGAAATCAAATCAGCCTGTGCCCTCACACAAGAAGAGTAACATGAAGGTAAACAGTGTCACGTAATTATCCTAAAGAGGTTTACAGAATTGTCAAGTAGACAAGTACAAGTGAGGAAGGGGTTTCTAACTTAATTATTTCATTGGAATACTTTCAGTGGACAATAATCGTACTGTCATTGGTAGCGACGAGTTGGGCGAGTTTAGAGCCAGTGAGCTACAAGCCACCGCTCGCATCAGTAACCGCTGACCAATATCTACCCCCAAGTTACCGCGTTGCATTACCACGGGGAGCCCTAACACTGGAATCCCATTATCTTCCATCGAATCACCAAAGCTTACCTCAAAATGTAATACCAAATTCTCTGTACTCACCGAGCGCCCGTCCACCGAGCAGTCTCCACAATTCTGTTTCTCCCTCATCGCCTTCACAACTCAGTGAACGATACATACCCTCCGTTTCCTCTTCCTCGGCCCCTGAAGCCCATCAAGTCCCAACTCACCATCATGCATCAGCTATCATTCAAGATAGCCGTATCGGTCATCATGTATCAGCTAACCCAGCTTCCCCATCCACTCTACTTCAACATACTGCCAATCGGAATATCGTTTCCTCTAAATATCTACCCCCGAGCCAACTCGATGAGACATTTACGCAATCCATCCCTTCCTCCACCTATCTGCCAGCTAATCAGAATCAATACGTTGAAATTCAGCCCTCAACATCGATCGTATCCCCTAATACCTATCTGACACCGAACAAGTTCTCAACTGTATCGCCTCGAGGATTCGCAGAAGGACATCTCGCTCGTCACGATAGCCACTTAAACTCGGGGGGACTCAGTCAACCAGCGGGACACTACTATCCCGATAGTAATTACGACATTCCCGGACGTAATGGGGGATACATGTACGACCAAGTAAGTCATTTTTATCTCCAATTATCAATATTTATTTTTAATTAGAAATATAGAAAACAGTTAATGGAATGACCGATATTGGAAGGATTCAATTTGTAACACTTCATTTGTTGAAAGTTACAATGGAAATTATATTCATTTAATGAAATGATTGTCTAAGTGATCTGTTTTTGAGAAAGGTCCTATTAATTTTTCTGTTGAGAGGATAATCTGTGGACACCGCTTGTACGTACTTGCAACCGTTGACCAATACTCCTTGAAATTGCACATGTCAGCTTTACTTACAACTGCATTTGTATTCCAATGTCTTATTAGTAATTTATTGAGAGTATGAAATTGAACGACGGAGATTTGATTAAATAATAAAGGAATTATTCTTTTCGTTACCAATGACATTTAACCGCGGAAAGAGAAATTATAACTTGGAGTAAATATTTTATTTTGGAATCGATGCCACTTCATTTAATTTTCTTTTGCTTCACATCAATCGCTATGCATTTGGCGTATCAAATTTGCCGTTCCATAATGAATATTTGTCTACCTCAACTCACACAATGAAGAATTTCACTTAATGTGAATAAGAAATTTCATTTAACGTGAATAAGAAATTTCATTTAACGTGAATCAGAGATTAATCTGAAATTATTTCTGAAGTTGACCCAGTTCAAGTATTTCGATCAATTGTAGAATTTCCATTATTAAACGTGATTTCTCTCGGTGTAGAGATTTATTGTAACTGCTTTGTCAAAAAAGTCAATAGTTGCATTTACACTTTCACTAGTTATTTTGCAAGAGTATCTCTTGTTGAAAAAAATGTATAAAGTGTGGACGTTACAGCCCCCAGCCAAGTATCAGTTTGAATACCGGGTGAATGACGAATACGGGAACGATTACAGTCACAAAGAGTCTCGAGATGGTGACAATACCCAGGGTGTCTACACAGTGCTTTTGCCAGATGGTCGCAAGCAGATTGTTCATTACAAGGCCGATCGCGATGGCTACAGGCCAACGATTACGTACGAGGATGCTGCCGCCAAGTCTGGATACAATCAAGGCTACCAGTATTAGTTAGATTATCACAATTTTATCTCTCGCCATAATCTCATTATTTATAAGACAGAAGGCGTCTAATGAGAAATTCCAATAGACGTTTAAATAGAATAGAACAGCAGCTTCATTTAAATTTGATAGATCGGATCATTATTCAGACATTGAATAACGTATAGTACATTGTATTGCAAATCATCAAATTGAAAATAATAAACTGATGTGTACTGAAGGAAGTGGTCGCAATTCACCTTGCATTTACGGTTGGAAAACGGTACGTGCTATCAGAGATGAAGCGAGACCTGGATAATTCGTACGTGAAATATGTTGGTATTTGTAGCAGAGGGGAAGGGAGGATGGCAGTTTTATCCTACCGCTGCGTGCGAGATGGATGCGCTATTACAAGCCCACGGCCTTCCCTCCGTTGAAAACTCTTACTTCATCCCAGATATATCTCATTACTTTCACATTTTGCGTACATTAATTCATACCCCATCCGCCTGTCTATCACATGTATTATTGCTTTAGGGAATTATTCCTGTTTCCCGTGATTTCCCATCTCAATAAGCAAATTATCAAAGTTGTGTTGTATTATCAGGTGTGTTGAAGGAGTTCAGTACCGAAGAGGGAATGAAATGAATTTCACTTCTATTGAAAGACACCGTAATCAATAATTATAATGATGAAAGCCCCATATAAATAAAATGTTTCTTTTGATCATTGGCTTTTTACTCATTTTACTTCAAGTTTGTACTGGCTACTTTTCAACGGAATTCAAGATAAACGTTGCGTGGCTATGATGAACTATCGTAAAAATCGTTTGCTTTTGAAAGTTGAAAGTATAAGGTTCCTGTGAGGGTTCAAAGCGTGAAAGCTTTTAAGCGGGGTTTGCTATTTTTTTTCAAGTTTCATTTGCTTTTTTTGTCCATCGCATCAAGGAAGTTTATCAACGTGCAGCGAGAGATTGTTTAACATAAAGTAGGAAGCCCTTCTTGGATTTTAAAAATTTATAAACGTTATTTTTTTCGTTCACGTGGGGAAAATTACTCTCAGCTGCGTTGATGAAGCATAAGCCATACATAGCCGTCCCATGTCTGTACATCTAATAAGGACGATGCGGAAAAACATAAGAAACAATTGGTAGTTATGTATGCAGTTTATAAATATTTTATACGGAAAATATATAATACATTGAACAGAATTGATTGAACTGTGATAAAAGAAAAATTGATAGAGAATTCAAATGATATTATTCGTATATATTATTCATATGTCATTCGGTGATAAGTAGTAATAACGAGAATACACATAAAAAATCTTTATGGGATATTGATGACTAATTCGGTGTGGTATGGCAGCGTAGTGATATTGGCGCACTGGGGATTCAACATTATTTCCACTTAACGAGGGAAATATATCGACGTTATATATCCCCTCAGTAGAAACGCAGAATAGATTGCTATATCGCGGCTTAATTATCGATATTTTTTATCGGTACATGTTTTAAGTGGAAAATATGCAGTTCAATGATGATTTCAATAATAATAAATGTCAAATTAAAGAGCGATTATTGCTGGGAATTCACGCTGATACGAGGTATGGGTTTTGCAGTAGGGTATTACAGTTAAGATCTCAATGTGAAAATAGGCCCAATAGTCCGTTGTTCATGTATGAAACTAATAACGATAACCATTGTTTCCACTTGGATAACCAACACCACCGTCGTTTCGGTAGCCATTTCCTGTAGCTTCTTGTGTGTAAGTGACTACCGGTCTGAAACCATTTTGATCGGCAATGTACTCGACAGTCTGACGTCTGCCGTCAGGCAACAGGACGTAGTAGACACCACGTGTCACATCATCGTCACGACTCTCTTTATGTCCAAAATCATTTCCACTTTCCGCATCATTCACCATATATTCGAATTCGTATTTAGCTGGCGACTGAAATTATAAACCACGGGGGAAAATTTGGTTAACGTCTCGCTGAGTTTGAACGCGATGTTTAACGTGAGTGGCGTTAATGAACTTACGTCATTGGATCCATCATCGTAACCACCACCGGCTCCACCGCCGGGTGGTCCATACTGCTGATTCGGCGGAAGGTATTGATTTGTTCCAAATCCAACGTTTTGTCCATTTTGCCCTGACGAACCATCCCCGGAATACTCATTTTTACGGGGTGGGCCGTATTGTTGCTCGGGAGAGAGATATTGACCAATTGGTGGCTCTGGGCGGCCTGAGGCTAAGGCTGATACTAGGAGCAACATCAGTGCTGATTCCAGGAACATCTAAATCCAACACGATGGGAAATTATACAAAAATTTCTATATTCATCATATTTTCATTTGCTTTTACCGAAAAAGTAATAGTCGTGGTCCGAACTGTTACCGAATGCTACTGTTATGTATACTGAACTCCCAATGGTAAACAAATTGTTCGGGATATTTAGGTAAACAATGGAGATATTAGAAACGTCCAATGTTGCTCTAAAATGCTTCACGCTCGTAAACCAAATAAATCATTATGAAAAAAAAAAAAACAAGAGCTTATTACTGGTTCCGTATGAATTATGTCAGAAAACTAGAAATTCCCATACTTGGTTGTGACCCCTTACTCCATGTTCTCCATTCCTTGTAAATATAATATGACGTGACCTATCATAAAGCATTAACAAATTTCCCAAATACTGCTAACGAAAACAAAGTAGAGTATCATTAGAATTTGCTAACAAAAAGGTTTCGATTGCAGCGAATTTCTACGAAGCAAAAGTTGTGTATTCAATTGGCGAAAAGTGAGAACACAAAAGAGGAGACTCGACGATAATGAATCAATTCGAGTCGGATAGTGTCGCAATGCGTAACTGCAGGAGTTCTATCCATTAGGCGTTAAAATCTGTAATACCAATCTCTAGTGCTTTGTGCCCCCTTCCCTGTATTCATCGAACACTGGGATTCATGGTGTTGGTGTTTTGGCACAGCTTCTGGATACTCGAAAATTGGGATATGGGACAATAAAGATTCGGTACAGCGCCTTGAGTGTTGTATAGTAACACTATAGCAGTATTTCTGCTATAATCATTAACTTTCCCATTATGTTGAATACAGCACACGTAAACGGGCACAGTGGACCTCTCGGGACACGTAGGATTTGCCGGATATTTCTCGCTAGATCTGCTTTATTTATTTTTTTGTTTGTGTTATGGGATATTTTTATTCTCGTCTCCTACGCTGTTTTTAATTTCTTCCATAATTATTCGATTGGGATCCCTCCCCAGTTTCCCTTATCTTTTTTCTCTTTATATGCTCTACTTAGACTCAGAACAACAATAATGTGCTGATTCAGTCATGGTTATCACCGCGATGTATATTGGTCAATGGTGCGCGTGACGAGATGTCATCAACATCGCGATCTCTTACAAAGTCATTGGTGAATGGAAGATGCGCTGAATGCGCTGAATACTTTTTCTATGTTGGCACGGTTGAATGATAAAGACCAAGACAAAGCGGTATACGTTGGGGAATAAGTTTTGGTGCCGTAGAGCTCGGAATTGACGTAATATTGCACACGCATCTCTACAGATGATGTCTTCCGTGTCATGCTCGTCTTCACGCTGAATGCAAATGCTGAACTATTTTATTCCAAGTTTTTTCCATATAACTCCGTATTATGCTCCGGGGATTTCCGTATTGAAGAATTAATAAAGGGAACGATGTGCTGGAATATTGGGAGCAACGTGGAATTTTATTTTTCATCAGAAAACCCCTCACTCTATTACATACCATGTTTTTCAATGCAGGGTACATAATTAATTCTAATTAAAATAATTCTAAAAAAAAGGCCAATAGTACTATTCTCTGTGGTCTAGTCCATTTGTTCATTATATGGTAAAGGATAGGGTATTGTAAAGCGGTCGACTTCTCATAGGCCGGGAATTTCATTAGTTGTATACAACTTAAGCGGTCTTTCTATATTATTATATTGCAGCTTGAACATCTGTATGCCAAGTCCGAAAGAAAGCAAATTGAAAAATTTCCAAGAGACTTTTTCAGCTAAAACACCTCTTCGAATCCAGCCAAGAATTCCCCGTATAAAAATTATTCTTTCATCAAAGCTTTTCCAACGGATAAATTAATAAACAAATAGTTGGAACAAGGGAGTTTAAGGGAGAGGAAAATGGAAGGTATATAGTAATATACTTACCATGATGGAATCCTTTATGAATCGGTGATTGCGTCTGCCAATGGTTAAAATTAGTTAAATACGGAATGACACTTGCAATGAGGGATTGACGTTGATCTGGTGTAATGAAAACGCGTCTATATTAATAGTGCGAAAGATGGCAATGGGATGCCGAGTGCGAGGTAGCATCTCCCCTGTGGCTGGTTTTATACTTTCGCAGAGGGCCCGTCGAGGATCATCCTCCCGTTCTCCGATATGTAACATCACGAGCAAGGCCGTTGCGCCATCATGATTTCCTTACACAACGGGACCGGACCCCGTCGATCTTTCGGGGATGAATTCTGTTATTACGCACTCCTTCATCAAGCTACTTGTATCGCACCTCTCGCCGTTTATCTCTTCCTTTTTTTCTATCTCCTTCTCCATTTCCCCTTCATCAACACTCCGCACTCCTTGGAAGGTGTTTTTAGATTTAGACTGCTACCGTCGAGTGTGTAATTGAGACACTGCCGATTATCGCTCGATTGACCGATCGATGATGCCGCTGCATCCCTAGGCAAAATTTATCATCAACTTTCCGTTTCTTTGCTCGATCCATCGAAATCGTATAATAAATTAACGTGTCGTTGTAGCAAGAGCGCATCGTTATTTTAAGCCAGTCGCGATTTATTACATTCATTTTACTTTGTGATACGTCTTCTTTTTCACGATTAACCTCGCTGGTGTTACTAATTATCCGCCTTGTGCCCAGCATCCACTAATCGACTTTTTCAACGTCGGCGGCCACTGGTAACGATGTTGGAAAAGAGAAAAAAATCTCCCAATGGAGAAGAGGAAAGAGGCCATCGAAAAAAAACCTGGGGCGATATGAAGTCGTAAAAGAAAAATTATGACATAACAATTGCAATGCATCAGAATTGAGCGGCAGCCAATTATCAAACAACATGGTATATTCTTCTGGTAATTCTCTCGCGCCATAGTCGTTATTCATTTGCAATTAATTTATGATTGTATACATTGTCCCAATTAACTTGGCCAGAAAAGTGCTTGCCAAAGCGACCTTTATTTTCTGGCCGAGAGGATTTAAATCTGATTGTCCATAAAAATAAAAATAAAGGTGTCTTTTGCTCTGTTGAATCTCAACTCTCGAAATCATGTGTCTAGAAGGACAGAGAAGTTGTTGGTGCAGCAAGAGGGAAATACAGCTGCGCCTGAAGTATATCCTGGGAGGTAGGCAAACAGGTCGATAGAGGAAGCTACACAGAAGCCCAGAAGATGCAAAGGATGCTCCGAGAATGTGTTCCATAGAGAGATAATGTGATACTGAGTATTCATATTTTGTGTGATGCCTTTCATGCGAAAAGTACCTGATAAATCACTGCGTGTTTGTTATTTTCGACTTTTCAATCGCATCCTATAAAATATTATAACGGATAAGTTAGTAAATTTACCCACTAGTGCATTCTTTTAAAAATCTTTTCCTACACTTATCACTTTCTCAATTCGTTTTCTTTAACAAACATTAGCACCAATTTTCGGTAAACAAACTTTGAGCTTATCTCTCACGTATTGAGTATCAGTGCACGAATAAGTTTTCACTCTCTCTGTGTAGAGGGCATACGTGTAGCTTGACCAATGCAGGAAATTTAACTTTCTGCCTCAAAATTGCAGTAAGAAGTAGGCACTTTCGACCGAGGTATGAAGAAAATATTCATACATCATATACACGATTGAATTTTAATTGCAGTGAAATATTGATCGATTCACTCAATAGGCGTCAGTTAATCTGCGATCTATATTAATTGGTAATCGAGTGATGCACACAATGGAATTTTATTGCTAGTGAAAGTGCAACTTGTATTGTTGTGGAATTTTTTTCTCTCAAAATTTCAATCATTTCAATCGCAAAAAAAAATTTTCTTTCCAGGGTTGCAAAGTATGTAGGAGCTCCAGGAATATTCCAAGGCTTACGCTCCTCTGCCAGTTGATCCTCTTGTACGTGCAGAAGCTACAGCAGGATGAGCAATTCGGGCAATGTTGGAAAGAGCGGCAGATTTTCCCCTAGGTGATGCATATAAATCGTTGTAAATTCATAACGACGCGGGGACAAGCTTAATATGTTGTGCCTCATGAATGGCCAGTATGTGAGCAGCACGTACGGTGTATTTGCTTGATATGAGCCAAGAGTTAGTGGGCTACCGAGGAGTGCGTGACGAACACCCGACCAGAGTTACCCTGTGCCGCACGATCCTCATAAATTATTGTCCCATGCTATTGCAATAGTTTTACACTTTTAACATCTTCCTTATGAGCCATCAATATTTTCTAACATGAATATTTAAATTTTCCAACGTCAACCTCAGGAACCTCTAGTTTGAGTTCCAAAATCGTCAAATCCATCCGCGCGGATGGGCTGGCCAGAGGGCCCCAATGATATTACTAAACCATCAACAGCAAAAATTTGCCAATTGGGTTTGCGTGGAAATATTGATGTCCCGATGGGTCCAGCTCATCAAGTTTCCAGTATTTCGGGCTTAGCTGTAATTGTATTGTGTGTTAAAAATCTAATGAACGCCAGATGGCAATCTTGACATTTTATTGGATTTACCTCTTACAAAGCAACTGAAAATATATTGTTCGTCTATTTAATTAGTAATGTTCATTAAAGTTTATTTATTGACAATGGAATATGGGGGACAGAGAAATAACTTTGTAACACAGTGGATTTAATACGTTAATTTTAATTTATTGAAAATGGCACGAGGAAGAAATGTCTGTTCAATACGACTTGCCAGAGCCGACTAAAGTGGTCAACAGGGCCAAAAAGAGAAAACGTCATAATGTGACAGTGGATCCCCAGTCCCTTTGCCATATGACCTCATGGCTTATGTTTATGTCTAATCCTAACATCTCTCTCTATGTTGATACATTTTTGAAACCATAGACTCATATAAATCAATTCGTAGAAAACTGAGGCTATATTCTAACAATTGACAATTATCGTCTCGTATTCTTCTGTCTCCTCGGTCTTACTGGTCTAGCGGATCTCGGAAATCGAACTAGCCCCCTATTTCAGGACTAATGTTCATTTCAAAAATGAAATATTCAAAAGTCATTTATCGAGCTACCAATCTACACAAAGCTCAGTCAAAATTAAACCTTGTAAAAAAAAATCATGTCTCAATGTTAATTATACGGGGAATGTCTGGCAGAGAATTTATTCTAGGAATACTCATCCAGTAACTCTTATACTCGTCATTATTATTATGATCGGATCGATTGAAAATATTATGGCAGAGGCTCACTCGAGTCCAACTTTCACTTGAGTGCACTTGAGGCCTTTTTTTCCTTCACATTTTCTTCATGCTCTTTCTTTCTATAATTATTATCGAATCACTGACTTTTCCAGACTCCCTGGAGCTGAATGGTTGATCTTCACTTAACCAATTAGAATTGTAATTGAACGGAGGCTGCTTTGGTAGTTGCATTGAAACGTCGTACTTGGGATTCTGAGGTTATGAACCCTTATACCATAAATCGCCCGGGTAAAAAGCTCCGTGTATTTGCTGTACCTCCCCAGTTAGATTCGCGAGAATGACTGAGACAGAGGAGAATTGAAATGCCCTACGGTAAAATGTACTTCAGCAGAATGTGGTTTCCTCCTTTTTTTCGTTTTGCCTTTTTTCATTTAGTGGTTTAGCGCCGGTATTCAACAGTTGAAGATCGTTGACTTCCCATTTTTAAGCAAGCCAGCGTGCAGGAGGAGCTGAATTCTTATCGAGTTATTAATTTGAAGCCTGGTCTGCACCTAGTCTCGAGAGATTATTATTCATGGGAGGAATGACCCTTTTATAATCTCGAGCTCTTCAAGTTTAAACAGAATTCATTTGTGATAGAAGCAATCTAATGAGTCCTTCAAGAACTCTTTCTCTCGTTCGTCAGATAATTTAGTTTTTTCCACTCTTTCCCTCATCACTATTGATTCAATGGTCTTTTTTGCTCATTTGGGTCAGAATCCATTCGCTAAAACGCTTTAAGATTATTAGTATAAAATTATTTATATCTCTCAATGTGAGTTAATTAACGGTTCGGGGAAAATATTTGTTTCTCCCCATATAGTTTTCAGATCTGGAATCAGGAGGTGAAAAACTACTAATTCAGGTAAAAATCAGCATCAAGTTCCGAGGCGGGGCGAGTAATAGACATTTACCAAGAATGGGATACAATTCCGATATAATCCATTATTTTGAAATTGTATTTAATCGCTCATCAATTAACAATGGATAAATAACATGGACAAATAACAATTAAAATGGAACCTGGGTTGGTGGGTTGAATATAGTGCAATAATTAGCGGATGATTAAATAGAAAAGCTGAGAAAATAGAGATCTATAAAATGTTCAGCTACAGGCGCACTGACTGATGCAACTTATGAAGATGAAAAGGAAAAGATGCGGCTCGGTGCAATGCAGTATACAGTACATCATCAAGAGTGGCAGAATAGTGCGCTTGATTCGTAGCGTCCATATACCTCCCTCGATCTTTTGCCTCTTGCGTCATTACATAATCGTGCTTTCTTGTATTTTGTTCACTGAATAACGTTCACTGAGCCCAGGCTAGGTCACTACATCATCATCAGGCGCACACTGAAAATGCCTAGTGGGCACCAATTCTCTCTGAGATGCTCTATATTGCATAACATTAGGACACCACTACGGTGCACATTATCGCTGATGATGTTGGTACAAAAGCCGATGAATTGAAGCCCCGCGATGCGTATTAATAGAGGGGTTTCATTGATCATTCCAATTCATAAGGGATTTATGATATTCCCCACGGATCGTTACCAATGGAATGCCGGGAATGGAACTCTAGAAAAGAGGTAGAAATATAATTTTCAGGGGAAGGGTGGAGAAAGGAAAAGAAAAGGGATACAAACTAGATAATAAGTCTCGAGTACTTATATCTCATTTTATGGGAAGAAACTTGAGAGGGAAAGGTCGAAAACAAGAGTATATCCGTTACGCAAAGGGTGAGCTATTAGTGCGAGATCACTTATCTCAAGTTGGGATCTTCTCAAGGAAGAGTGGCTTCCTTTTGATGGTAAGCCGACACTGTTGGTTTTGGTCTGACCACACGATGCATCGTCGTACCGTTAAATTTTCAACACCGTTATTTATACAAGATTCCGGTAATCTCATTCTTGTTGAGAGCACCAATTCAATTCACCACGTGCATTGTTGAAATTGCTTTAACTGGTTCCCTTTTTATTTTAGCGTGGCGCCGTTGTTGTGTAGTTTTTATTCATTTTCAGTTTTTATATAGAAAGGATATTTTATTTTTGACTGCAGATATATAGGTCGTTAGAGAAAAATTACAGATTCATAAATAGTTGATCCATTGAAATCTTAAGAGAGTATCATTGAAGTCAATTTTACGACTAATTTTTACACTAATACAAGAAAAAGCGTCCGTTGAACGAGCATGTTTTCATTTGAAAATAGCAATAAGCTTTTTTAGTTAGCAGCCAATATAATTCTTGAAGCAATCTTTACCCAAAATTACCAATTGCTGGCACTGAATGTTGATTTGTTTTTCGATAATTCACTTCGCAATCGATTGCACACTTGAATCAATCATGCGCGTACTTATAGTAGTGAACAGCGACTATTCAGTTGAATACAAGTAAACGTCCCTCCATTACTATATTTCTATAATCATCTTTCACTCGGAATTTTTTGCCGTTGTTTGTCTTCTCCCTTGTCACGAAAATTTCGCCGATTGAATTTGGCGTTGAAGTAATAGGCTCTCGTGTGCTTCAAACGCATTCCTCTTTGAAATTAGTTTAAGAAGAGATGAGATGACGGATGCAAATTGTTTTTCACGTGCAGGAGTCCGGAGAATATCGAGCTCCGTGAACCGGATAAGTGCGCGTACAGAGGTCTGTTTGATTTCTCACTCCATTTCGTGATTCCTACCTCCTCCCACAAACCTCACAAGCCGTACATCTGGGTTTATATTGCTCAATCGTGTATTCCTGTGTGCAGAGCATTTGGTAAACAATGACCTCCCACGGTACATTTGCGTTCCATGATCCTATTGAGTTCTACTATTTGACATTGTGTATATCCGCCCACTCGACTCATTCAAGTCTCGTTGTCCACTCGATGCCTACTCCGTGCCTATTTTCCATTGCCAGAGGAATAAAACGTAAGCAGCCATTGCGAGTACAACCTGGCGATAATAATTGAGAGTATGACAGTGAGTGAATCTCCCATTCCTTTATTTTCCGACACACTGGGTGTAAAGTGAAATTTGACGCATGCGCAAACTCCCATTCGCCACTCATCGTGACCACAAATATTGTTCGATACTCGCTGCAAATTTTTTTTCTACATTCGTGCACAGAGAAAAATCATGAATAAAATTATCCTGGTGATAGGATAAAAGTGTACCATGACTCACTTTTGAGGAATTTTTAATCTGACGATTAGCAAAAATTGATATAAAAATAATAAAATTTATTAGAAGTAAAATACATTTCATCTTACTGGAGCAGAATTTTCCGCATACAGCGAAAATTGATCAAAATTTCTATGAGTATAAATAAATAATCTACATTAGAGGAAAAAAATTACTGTTATTCAATTAGTTATTACACTGGCATAAAAATAATGTTTATCCGCTCAAGTCAATAAATTTTATCAGGTTTACTCATCTCTCTCTTTAATAGAATGCGTGTAAGAGAGAGGCAATGAGAGGATCCCTCTCCCTAACCCGGCCTCTAACCTCTCCCGAACAAGGTCCATGTGACGCAATTTATCACAACTGCCGGGGATTTCAATTTTTTTAATTTTATTCATAACAAATAGATGAACCAACTGATTGAAATTTCACTTGCGCCATTTGATAGAAAAACCATTCAAGTGTTTTCAGTGAAAAAAAATCCAAACGTTCACGGCGGAGATAATTCCATTGGGGTTTATGTTTTTTTTCTCAAATGGCAGCACGTGCCATTCAATTCCAGCAAATAATTGTTTATTGTTGACGGAAATGTATTGTAAACCTGTGTGGTGCGTGATAAAGTCGTTTTAATTGAGATTGGTATTTTTTACCATGACAGAACAGTAATTTTGGTATAGAAAATCATACAAATCCTACAGATGTTTGATCATTTTTATCCTCCCATACTGAAAATTTTTGTTCTACTAAGGATACAGATTATATTGTTAAGGAAAAATTAATTCCGAAATATTTTTAAAATCTATCTCATCAAAAGATAATTATTGGATCATGGGAAAATCAGTACATAATTATTCTTTCACGAGGATAACTTTTACTCAAAATTTCTCTCGGTTTGGAACTATATCACTTGCTTCCGGCGCTTATTGTGGTAAACCTCTCAAACGCCCAAAAATACTTTCCCGCAGTCGTATCGGAATGTCTTATTTCCTACCTTGAGCAGTATTCCATAATCGATAACGAAGAGGTTGTACACTGTGAATCTGATATTCGTGGTTTCCACCCGGCGCGCGAATGATTCTATCTGGAACATTTGTAATCAATGGATAACTGGAAAAAACTTGCATCTTTTCAATTAGTAGCAATCTTCTTCATATATAAAGAAGAGCATAATTCAATTCGAGAGTATCGAATTGAAGAAAATCAAAATTGAAATACATAATTCTAATCGGAGCTAAAATACAATACATACAATACGATATATGTATAATTTCATGCATATAGAGAAAATTATTTTCTTGGAAATAAAAGGATAAACTAGAAACTATCATGGCGAAGGGCATGCAGGAAAATCCTGATATAAAAAGAAGGAAGAAAATCGATCTCGAAATATCTCGAATGACCGTAAGGGTAAGTGACCGGTACGAAAAAAATCGACCTGCCGCCACAACATCGTAGCTAAACCTCAAACATTTCGAGCGGATGCGCGTACGGAGCACGCGCCGATGATCCCGTATGAAGAAAATAGAAAAAGCAATAGCATTAGTGATTTGGATAGACGTAGACACCACACAATTGAATGAGGGTAAAAAGGTGTTCTGTTTAATACCTTAATTGCAATTTTTTAGTTGAATAAAAAACCGTTTAAATCAGAACCATTTTTTCATTACAATGAAAGCCAAATGCTTTATTCGTAATTAGATTTTTTTGTCATTTTTGTTGCTCTATGGATTTGTGTTAGACGCTTCGGGGTAAAATTGTTGTATTGTAGAACATCTGGTGCCTGTCATTGTTAATCACACATCATGCATTCATGCTCATAACTGTACCATTCGAGTACTATTACCTCCTGCCTAAGCAAATGATGATCCGAGTTTGTCTGGCATTCATAGAGGAGAATACTGAGATACTTTCCCTGCTCGAAAACACGTACAGATTTTGTACTTTGACAATGTGGACGTGTAATAGCCCAAGTTCGAGTACCGACGTGCGTGACAAAAGAGTCGATGCTTTTGTGCATTGTGCTCTCGTTTATCGCACTTTCGCGCTTGGGTATTACACCGTATAATACGTGATGATGACGGTTGGAGATATGTCAGAGAAGAATTTAAGAGACATTTTTACTGCATGGACCATACAATCCTTCAAAATTTTAGTACTGAAAATGTTTTGACAATGGCATTGTTTCAATGGTTTGTATGATGTCACTGGAATAAAGTCGAAAGTGAATGCGGTTGAGTAAATCTTTTTAACAATATTGCAGTTGTATTCGTGGATGCCCGTCGAGTCGTTGAGTGCAAGGAAAAGAGAAATGGACATTTAAAAAAAAATATGATTGTACATTGATGTCAGAGGTTTGATGTGAATTGCAATTTTTGCGAGTCAGTGAGGATGTAAAATGGACGAGTGGGGCAAGATCATATTTTATTTTTTTTCCCCCATTTTTCTTGTCTTTTATCTTTAATTTTCTGAGAAAAGCTAGCAAGGGGCTGAGAAAATGAAAAGATACTTGGGAATGAGATTATAAATATGAAATGGTAAATCTGAATTTTAAATGATCAAAATTTACCTGAGAATTAACGGAATGAGATGCATCAATAATAAGTACACATTTTAAAAGAAAAAACATCACCAGGAGGAGTTCCATGGTAATGTCCGCGTAATGAGCTTGGACTTGATACGCTGTATAACCGAGATGCAGGTGTACAAAAATCCAGGCTATGGAGCTACTGAAGCTGACCAAAAGAACCAAAGCGTATGTGTTATTGACTGTGGCAACGACATCAGCTAGGAGTCCATAAGCTTCGCTGAGTAATTTCACCCTGAACACTGGAGAAAAACAAAAGGGAAGGAGAAATAGATTACAGCGATGAAAAGTTATGTCAAGGACGAATGTCATGATTCATTTCAACAGTTTCAAAAGAATTGCTCACCGTTGTTCATGTCCAGTGAGAGATTGCCGGGAATATTCTTAGCGGTATTAGTCATTGTTGGAATCAAATCATTGATTACTTCGTTTCGTTTTCTGACTCTCATGCACATAGCGACGAATGGTACAGTTGCAAAACTGCTCACTAACTGTGGTAATTGATTCGTAATACAGACAAGAACATACGTATTTTTTCTACTTGCGCTCTGTAAGTTAGCATACTCAATAAAGCCCATCAAAACCGTGAGCATTCCGATAGTGAGGATATGCACATGTTGAGCTTTCATGAAGGTTTTGTAAATGAATTTAACGTTAAGTAAATTTAGTTTTTCATCATACTTGAGAAGTAACGAATTCGAATTTTCATCATTGATTCTATTTAATATACTGCCAGCAACTATAAGTACGCAACATAAAATATCCATGACGAATCCAACTGGCTTTATCCTTATTGATTTTGAGATTATTCGCCACTCGGTGACTATGTCATTTGCGTAATCTATTGTCAAGGATACCATAACGCAGTATAATATCCAGAAGATTAGCATGTATAAATAGCCAATTGCCTTTATTCTCTCTATAATTAATGGACGTAATCCTGAAATGAAGGTGTTAATTATCAGGAGAGTACACAAACCTAAGTAACAATTGTACGTGGTTAATTCTAACCGATAATTCCGGTCACCCAAGCCGATGGCCAGCTCTCTTCGATGATATTGTGCGGTTGGAGGAGTTTCATATTGAAAATTTTCACTTGAGTTAAGCTACTGGTGTTACGTATCAGCGTATACTGATGGTCGAGATGGAGGGAAAAAAATGACAATCGCGTGATTTCCACCATAACAGCGCTGCATGTGTCTAAAAAATGTATAGTGTTTGTTGAATTGATATGCGTGTTACCATTTTCATGTGGAAAATAATTGCGAAAGCTTGCACAGTGGGTATTGATATAACATTTTTAATGATCAATGATCGGTAGTAGCAAGCATACATGAAAAATTAGTGACGTGGAATGAGTCCATATCCTCCTAATGTGATTGAACGAGAATGACATGCAGTCTGACAGAATCCGCAATATTATAGCGGTGGGGCAGATACAATTAATATAAAATCAATAAAATAAAGCCCAAGACCACCATCAACACAAATAAAATTGATGGGGGAACTTTATTTCAACGAGTATTTTTAGAATACATTAATTGCGGAAACGTTCTGTTTTCAATTAGTCGCTGACGGGTCTCTGATGTGCTACTCTAAATTGGAATATGAATGGGTTTAACTGCGAATAAAAATGTAACAATAATTCTGATATGAAACGACGACGTGTTTGCACACTCAGTGAACGCTATGCATAGTGATAATCTTTTACGGATGCTAAACATTAAGACTTGTAATTCTGCCATTTTTTAAGATCAAAAAAGATCAGACAAAATAATAAATAATTCACGGAAATAGCATCGCCCATGATTATAAGTAGTAAAACTACAGTTTGTGTTTCCCTCACTTTTCAGCCTTACACCATTCCCTGCATGACGATGAATGCTTCAATGAGAATCGATTGAATGAAAAAATTGATTGAAATTTTCGATAGGCGCCAGTATTTTCTTAAATATCTTCCAATCAGTATTTGTAACCCTCGCCTCCAGGTGCCGGATAGGTGGCTGTGCCTTCGTAGCGAATCATCGGTCGATATCCACCGGCATCGGCAACGTAATCAACGATTTGTGTCCTTCCATCTGGCAATAAGACGTGATAAGAGCCTTTGGCCTCGTCATCCTTACGCATTTCTCGGTGGCCAAAGTCTAACCCTGCCGCTGCATCTTGCACTTCGTACGAGTACTCGTAGTTCACTGGGTCCTGCAATCATTTGGAGTGGTGTGTAAATATTTGTGACGAATGAAGCGAATTAAGAAATTGAGCAGAATGATAAATATGGTAAATACCCCGGCCCATTCGTCTGGATGACCAGTACCACCTGGTCTTGGGCCTACACCACCTGAGGGTGGTAAATACGCCGGTCCTTGTGGGACACTCTGGACTCGTACCAGCATCATCGCTAAGAGCACTACCTACAATTTATTGGATAAATTGATGAATGATGAATCGATGAATTTCAAATATTTCAGAATATTTGAGGAACATTGAAGTTTTAAGGCCAATTTTGCACCTAAGCTCTCAGTGAAATCTTCGTGGATTAAATATTGATATCGAAAAATCTGCCAGACGAAATAGATTAAAAAGTGGAGTTGATAATTCCTGTGGAATTAAAAAGCTTAGACTCACCTTCGAAATCATGAGGGGCCTGGTACGTTCTTTCCGGTCTTCAGAAAACTAAGATAAGCGGATGACTGCGCGCAAGACTTTATACCAGACGGCAGACTGCTCGTGCAATCCAATGAAAACTAAAATACTGTGATTTGCTCTCTTGTCTGTGTACATAATGCAAAAGTATAACCATTAATAAAACGTAATAACAAAACCGCAGCATTTGTCAGTAATCTTCAATTGTATTGTACATGAAATTTGTCTCTCCGTTTGCTGAGCATCAGTGATCATTTTTATTATATTGAAATACGTCAGTATTTCGCGCGCTGAGTTATCAAATAAATATGATTTTTATGAATTTTCAATTTGTAATTAAATAGATCAAATTGGGAGAGGAGGATAAGTAAAATCTGGTGTTAAATCCATTTGCAAATTTATTCTACATTGAATTATAAAAAATAATCACGGATTATGTTCGTTGTGATTATTAAGTAACGTACTTTACAATTTGATGGGATGAAAAATTCAACTAGAACAGTATTAATTTTTAATACTAAGCGACCAAAGTTCAGTATAATGGATTATCTACTTGATATCTGGTAACGATGAACTAAGGTATGAGTATTATGTGTACATAGATGTGTGCGAATTCAATACTGCATAAATATGAATCGAAATCTGAATAAATCTATTCTGTTATAATTGGATTTGCCCTCCAATGAGATGTTTCGACTTCAATCCTTTCATTGCATCGTTTTGCATAAATAATTTTGTTTGCATCGTAAGCCAATACTGGGCTGGGATCAATTATGATTGTATATTGTTCATCTATTATGATGTAAATTATAAGCACAGGTTTAGTATTGATATCCACCATTTGCAGCAGCATCACCGCCACTTCCCGATGGATATTCGCCCTGATTACCACCAAAATTACCCCCCGGTTGATTAGAGGGATATCCTTGATTTCCACCGGCATTTTGTCCGCCAAATCCTCCGCTTCCACTGCCAGGGCGCCCAGAGGGATACCCTAAAGAGGATTTTTTTTTATTATTTGTACATTTTTTACGCATCAAGAGACCATAATATAAGTGCTATATACCACTGTCTCCACCAAATCCTCCGTTACTGCCAGAACCGCCCGAGGGATAACCGCCTCCACTGCCACCGAAATTGTCTCCCCCTTGGCCACCGGAATTACCAGGTCCACCAGATGGATAACCCGAGTCGCCTCCAGGTCCCCCCGAACTGTAGCCGCCGGCATTGGCTTCACCCTCGTACCTTATCTGTGGTTTGAACCCGTCTTGATCCGCCTCGTACTCAACAATTTGCTTTCGCCCATCGGGCAGCAGAACATTGAACATTCCCTGGGCTCGATCACCATCACGGCTCTCCGTCTGTCCGAAATCAAGTCCTGATTGAGCATCCTTAACTTCGTAGTTGAAATCGTACTTGGCCGGTTCCTGGGACAAATTTTTATTTTTCTACCAAATGCTACCTAATTGTTATCGCGACAATTTCAATGATTTAATAACTATGCCCCAGGTTACTACTGAAATTCATTATTTTTTTCAATGCTTACGTTGCTCTCTTCACCGCCTGGCCCACCGCTGCCATAACCACTTGAACCACCACTGGGACCCCCTGAGGCGTATCCGTCACCAGGAGCTCCAGCGGCAGGAGGTGCATAACTGTCGGATGGGATTCTACCCCCTGAGCCTCCTCCAGATCGTGAAGATCCTCCGATTCCACTGTTGCCACCTATAGTGAGATTTAATGGTAATCATTAAATTATTCAGTACTCAGCCAAGTAGGTTTAAAGAATTCAGACTACCTCCAAATCCACCGCCACCACCTCCAGGTGCTCCGTAACTATCAGACGGCCTTCCACCCCCTTGACCTCCAAAGCCACCCTGACCAGCAGGGCCACTTGGATAACCTGCCTGCCCATTTTGGCCTCCCTGCTTCCCAAATCCATTTCCGCCAGCATTTGGTGCTCCATAGCTATTTGAGGGTGGACGACCACCTTGTCCTCCCTGCTGTCCAAATCCACCTTGTCTTCCCTGCTGTCCAAATCCACCCCCTCCTGTCCCAGGAGGTCCATAATTTTCTGAAGGTCTTGGAGGTGAGGTGTTTTGTTGTCCAAAACCACCTTGTCCACTTTGTTGTCCAAATCCACCCCCTCCTGCCCCAGGAGGTCCATAACTATCTGACGGTCTCGATGGTGAGGTGTTCTGTCGTCCAAAGCCCCCCTGACCACCCTGTCCACCCTGCTGGCCAAATCGAGCAGTGTCTGAGCCAGGAGGCCCGTAACTACTGGAAGGGCTATTCCCCAGGCCACCTTGTCCTATCTGCCCCCCCTCCTGCCCAAAACTACCGCTTCCTGACCCAGGAGCGCCGTAACTACTTGAAGGTCTGCCGCCTTGGCCTCCCTGGCCACCCTGTTGACCAAATCCACCTCCGCCGGATCCAGGTGTGCCGTAACTATTTGATGGTCTGCCCCCCTGTCCTCCCTGGCCACTCTGGCCACTCTGGCCACCCTGACCACTCTGGCCGCCCTGTTGGCCGAATCCATTACCCCCAGGGGCGGGAGCACCGTAATTACTTGAAGGTCTACCCCCCTGTCCGGCCTGCTGCCCAAACCCATTACCACCGGCATTGGGTGCACCATAACTACTCGAAGGACGTCCGCCCTGACCCCCTTGACCGCCTTGCTGGCCGAATCCACTCCCCTGTCCTCCCTGTTGACCGAATCCACCACCACCACCACCTGCGCCAGGAGTCCCGTAATTATTTGATGGCCTACCTCCCTGTCCCTGTCCACCTCCTGATGGTGGCCCGTACTGACTGGACGATCCCCCGCCCCCTCTACCACCACCACCACCACCACCACCACCACCACCACCAGGTGGTAAATAAGAATTGACAGGTGGCTCTGGTCTCGCCAAAGCGACCGCTAGAATTGTTGCTGCTAGTGTCAACTGAAAAACAAAATTAGTAACAGCATTAATATGCCTTATGTGGAAATAATTATCAAACAATGAATAAAAAATCACCTTAAACATGGTGAGGGCGAATTTCGCTATTATCCGATGAGAAAGGAAGGAATAACAAAGCTTCTTCTGATGCAGGTTCCCCATAAAGGGGACTATTATAAATCTCGTTAACTTCCTCTGTGTCAAATTGAATGCTTCAGCGCACTATACCGCGTACACAGTGAATAAAATGCACCCACCACCTGTGAGCGGTGTCGTGGGAATGACAAACCCCGTTGCTTCTAATCCGCTTTATATATCCCCGAAGACGATCCAAGATTCTAAATCGTGGATTTAGTGCAACTGGGTGAGATTTAACCAGTGGTAAGATCGAGGTGGTCGCGTTATGCCACTGGCGTTATCCCATCGGGTGACGGTCTAGCGGATCTTCAAGCAGACGTCGGGACAGAAGGGGGGAGGAAGGGGGTTAGCCATTTATGAAACATATTGCAGAGCGAATCCTGGTGGCATCCTCGGAGATAACGAGTCACCATGTCTGCCGCTCCGTTTCTATCTCCGGATACATTTCACACTCCAACACATGGGAATTGTTGCAAAACGGTTATAAGATCTGTACAGTTGGATTTATCGAGCCAGATGTTTTTATCTTGATCGGGCATTATTTCTCCAACGTATTTCTCCCCTTATTGCCCTTAATTTTTCATCAAACTGACAATTTATATCTGCATAGCATTAAAAGATTGATCGATCATGCTACGCATGTTGTCATCAATGTATGTCAGAAACGTCGGGGAAGCCTCGGGCCAATGCGATACTATCGTTTAACATGTAAATTAGAACGCGGCTGAGTTCTCCTGACGGTCGATGAAAGGATCATCCGCGCTACGCAACTATTGATGAACAATTTTTCACTCCTCAAAAGATTTCGCGATCAAGGAGCGATGACATACCGCCGCTGTGAGAATCTTCGGAAGAATCATCATCTTCAGTGACAAGTACACTCACACGCTCTACAGAGAGAGAGGCAAAAAAGGTGTACGTCTCCTTGGGCTTTCAGACGTGTATGTTTTCAATGGATTGAGAAGATCCTTTATGCAATCGTTAACTCGTGCAGATGTATCGCGTCACACGTGGGACGTTCAAACGAGATGTGGTATACTGGGGCTGTTGCGTCATTGAGTTTATTGAAACTCCGCTTTCAATACGACACATAGATGCTCCGAATTATCTCATCCTCTCCGGTTTTTCATACAAAAATTTAGTAACATTTCAATTCATTAATTTCACTAATAATGCGGTGTGATCTACACAATATAGATGAATTGATGAGTCCATGCACCAATTCTTGTAGTTCCTATAGTGATTCATTTCCAAAGCACATTTATAATACATTAACCTATAAGCTTACGGATTATGAATAATAAACCCCACTGAAACGAAAATTGAAAGAGAAATGAGTGAGAGCTATATATATTTCTTCCCACGAACGTATCAAACGGAAGCATTTCGGCATGAATAGTGGCCTGGTATTGATTCAGCAAATTGTTTTATTCATCAAAAATCAATTTATCTGATTCGATTAGATAAGAGGAAAAAAAGGGATTATTTACGGGATCTTTTTTTACGTTGTTCCGATGCATTCGCCATTCCACAAATACTGCATCACTTAATCAGACAGCCAATTGGATTATTTCAGTTGAATCGTCACATACTGGATCGGAAAATTTTTGAATTAATAATGAGATTAATAAATGAACGACAGCGAGTAAATGCGACAATTGGTGTGATGATTCATTGGGTACGTTATTTCAGACGAGATAAAAGAGTGGGCTGTCTTATCTTCCATATATATCAGATTTGAATATTTTCAATTGAGGTTGATCATACAGGCTGCGAGATGCATACTATTGGTACATTATAAGAATTGGAGCGATGAGATAGCTTGAGGATACACCTCGATTCGCGGAACGTATTGGCGTTGTGCAATTCCACATCACTTGATCTAATTTAGCGCGCTAGCATCGATCTCCATGCCTTGTCGTATTCCAAATCTTACGAAAGTTGATGTTTTTTCTTTCAACTTCATTCTCCCATCGGTACATGACTATATAAATACTTTGTTGGCCCGACGGAGTTGAGCCACTTACGTATTAGAACTCTGCACGAAGAAGATCATATCCGTTAAAAGTTTTGGCCTCCAATAAAATAGGTTCGCACAGCATCAAAGAGTTGTAGTATCGTTTGGCAAAGGTTTGTTGAAAAATATTTTACTAACCAGTGGAAAAGGCAAAGGCAGATAAAGATAGTGAAAGAGGGAGAGAATTGCTGAGAGTTGGCTGGGTTTGAGAAAAGGCTTTTCGCTTGACCGAAACTTTGAAATGAGCAAAGGGTGGGCATCACTTTTACGAATGTACCTTATGCTGTGGTCAGCTTATGTGGGGGTATGTGGAGCTTTAAAAGGATGGGTGTGCAGCATAGCTCGAAGCTTTTCACGTTGGATTCTTTATTGCCCCGTCGCTTCTGGTAGATGGATTGCAAGTGGAACATCACCTTGTGTTAGTACAACCAGGGAAATTCTACCACCTAAACCACTTCCTCCAATAGTTCATTCTTTCTTGCTAGCCACGTTTTCCCTTTGATGGACCTCCTCTAGCATGAACATAGTTTGCCATGGGATATTGCCATCGAAGCAAATATTTCAGCGAGTTGGACTTTAAGTTGCATATGTGTTGAATTCTAATGTGTCCAATTGTATCGAGCCAGCGATAGCTTATGAAGGGCTGAGTTTTTTTTTTATTCATCATTCGCAATATTACCATAAAGCTTGATCCTCTATTTTTAAAGGAACAGAAATTTTTAAGATATATTGGCACCAATCTTGGTGTGGATAGTGGGAATAACGTTCGCATCTGTGCACATACAGGTGAAGACAGAGCGCCGGGAGGAAAACTATATAAACGTAACTTTACTTCTGATTCATACCGAATGTCGTGCGGGGCACATCTGAAAGTTGCACATACGCGTCACAAGTTGAAGTTTGTCGGAATTTCAATATTCTCCCTGGGGAATCTTCTAGATACGTTGGCGGCGGTATCTTCCAGAGGAAGGGGGGGTTTAGAGAGGCAATTTTCCCTATCAACCAATGCAGCTATGCCGAAGCTCTCCAGCTTCCCATTGCTTGTACTTTGAAAAAGAGTGAGTAGGTTCGATTTATATGCATTGCCGAGAAAATTGTCTAATGACGAATAGTTCGTGCGTAGGTATACCGCAGAAGATGTCTCCGGAAGATGTCTATTCTAGAAGTGAAGCCAATTGTATTTGCTGCTGCAAAACCATTTTCATTTAGCCGGAAACATACCTGCACACGTTCTAACGGAGACTGTCTCAGCGGAATCGTAGAGGAAGCTTCTGGAAGTGTTAGTTGAGTCATACACCTTCATTGGTGATTTATGACTTTCATGTTTCTATATATGTTTTTTAACGCGCGAGATTTTATACTCTTTTTTTCTCCCTCTTATTTTTTTTATCTTTTCTTTTCACCACAGGGTTTTTATAACAATTTTTTGTTCTCAATTTTTCTCCATGTCTCACAGAGGACATTTTCTTTCCGACGGGTGCTGTAACTGGAAAAGACCGGCGACGATGATGTATGAATCACGTCGCGTGCGTCTGGAATGTTGTAAAATATGTCATTGGTATAAATAACAAAAGAAATTTCAGGGGTGATAAAGTTTGCGTGTGTGATACATTGTTATCATCACCCCAATAGATTTTCAAACTAATAAATCACAATCAATTTATCATGATTTGATTAGGTACTGTTGACAATTCATAACTGATTGATAGCTATTAACAATCGACGTTTTTCCATCACCCGTTTTTTTCACCCGTGCATTCCACGAATATACATTGTACACAACAAATTTATGATCTCATCAATCTTGCTTTAATGAAGCATCAGTGAGCGCGGTGTGAACAGCGAAAATTTACATTGGGAAATTTAAATTTTGCAACGGTACTTTTCCATTGATCACAGATGATCCTTCGTAGATTTCAATTTATAACGACAAATGTCTCCTCTAGCTGGTGAAATTTCAATGGCGATTAAACACTCTTTTAAGTCCTGTGAGACAATTGAGATTGAAAAATTTATTCAATCTCTAAAGGATCATCAATGTTAGCGAGAGAAAGAGTAAGTGTGGGGAAACAAAGGGGTAAAAAAGTGCAGGGAGATTGTCTGTCGGGGCTTTTCGGTGGAATTCATCGTTTTCCCTCCAAAGTGAAATTATTCAAGCGCTCTGCATTCTGAACTCAACGAGGGAACAAAGGAGGAGACAAAGTAGTAATTTCAATGTGGACGGCTCTAACGCAAGTCTCAGACTCAAAGTTTTCTCACTAAACTTATCCCTAGCTAGCTTCACCATCGCCATGAATAAAAAAGACGAGTCGGATCAAGTCAGTCAGTCAAGTCTTGTCGTATACTGAAGGTAGTTCTGGTGCCCAAACCGTAGTTGTTCGTTCCTACGTACTCAGTGAGTTTGGCAGACTTCTATCGAGCAAATATCCCAAACACTATGGTTTTACGGTACATGCATTTGTAATTGCAATATGCATAGGTACAATCTAGATAAAAATTGCAGTTGAGCGGATAATGTAGCTCGAGTTTCTGGGGTAGATTCACGCTATTTCTTTATTATTTCTTCTTAAGCTTTTATAACTGCAACTTGGATTTTTGTGGGACTAGGTAATCTCTTCCTCTAAGTGAGTGCTGTAACGCACAATAACATCCTCGTAGTCATGGAAATGATCAACCCATTCATCAGCCAATCAGAAGACAAATAAAAAGTTAACAATCAAAACAATCATTGATTCTCAATTAACTTCATGATAAAGGAATCACTCCGATTGGGTAAGTTGATCTTCGATTTTTAGGAGTAATTGCTGAACCTTGGTTCAATTAATGTTAAACGATGCAAGTTCCGAAGTTGGTGCATTCAAGAGATCGTTTTCAGCTTATACAACATTAGCTCGTGTGCTGCAGTGAAGTGATAATTGTTTAAATACGCTAAAGCCATTTTTGTAGCGATTTTTTTTATAGCGGTGTATTTAAATGGAACATTGAATAGATTACTCAAACGTGAAAGCCTGCCAGTTATTCAATTTTCCTCCCCTCGCGTAACCAACTCAACTTACGTGGAAGAACGCTCTTGATCGTTGGCGTTTCCCAATAAACGGAACTCGTTACGTTCAAATGAATTACCACCGAAAATGGGGTTTGATGTTTTTTGATTATGCTTCTTTGAAAATTAAATAAAACTGATAACAGTTTCCCCTAGGTAATTGAATTGCCACAGGCCAACCCTCCATTTCCAATTTCCTCCCACATGTATTGGGTCCCAGCCGAATGCTTAATTGACAAATTGTTTCACAAGCTACGATCGAATGTAAATTATTACTCACCCGTGGCTCCCCATAGTACGTTGTATGCAAGTTCTCCTATTCTATCCCTTTTTACAATGCTCTTATTTGCTTTGTGAGAAAAAGAGGAGGTTTTTAGGAAAACATTCAAGAGTGGGAAATGGTTGGGTGTATAGGAGCGAGAAATACGACACTACTTCAGAAAACGCAAGAAGACAAGCACAGAAAGTTGAGACGGATGACAAAGAGACGAACAAGTTTTGTGTTTAGTGCACGTGAAAGCGTTTTATCCTATCTACAGGCACTGTAGCCTCTTCGGTTGCCCTCGATGCTACTTTTTTTTTCCTTTCTCGTTGGTATTTGGAAATAATGGAAAGGAGAAGTTCGAGTTTCGCCTCTTTTTGTGCTGAAGTAAAAATTCATTTTCATTGTTTACCAATAGTTTTTCGTTTGAAGGTGCAGACCGATGAATTTTTCCACAAGACTTTTTTTCACCAACCTCGCGTTATATCTTCGTTGAGGTGTTCCCGGCGCTCATCCGCAGTGATACAATTCTCGCTAGCGTCTATTCTCAGCGTAAAAAGTGATTCAATTGAATCGTTCTTTTAGATTACAAATTGGTGGTTGCAATGGCGAGAATGCCGAGGTTGGGAATTGTCGGCAGTGGGTGGATGGAGGGGATGAAGAAAGGAGAATGGATAAAAGAGTCGGGTTTGCTCGTTCTTTTAGCTGTTATCAAAGGTGCGCTGTCGGATGAGCATGAATACTCGTCTATATCGTTTCAACGGCTCAGCAGTGTAACGGAAATTTTACCTCCTCACCTCCTACCTGTCTTTGTCGGCTTTCAATCACAAAAGGAGAGAGATCAGCAAGACGGAAGCCTGCAAAATTGAATGATTTCGAATGCATGATACACGACGATGCCAGCCTCCACGCAATCAAATACTGCAACATTATCGATTCCATAAATTCAATCGCAACATAGGCTGATGCGGTGGAATAATTATACATAAATTTCTTCCTATCATGTTTTTAATTAAAATAATAGTGCTAAAAAATTGCTTTTTATTGTTCATTAAATTCCATCTAGGCATGCTTGAGTAAGTACAATTAAATAACCTAGATATGAAAATTTATATATATATATATAGATGTGTTTTTTAATCAGTGGAAAATAAGGGATGGGAATGGGGTGTGACGCATAAATTCAGAAGGCATGTATCGTAAGATTGATGAGAACGGAATGGCGGAATGAATTTTTTTTTTTATGAAATGAGGATTCGATCTTCCCACGGAGCAGTGAAAGTAAAGTTCTCCAGGTAGATTAGTTCACGTGTCGGCCAACACTTTGGCCTATCGTTCTGTCTCTACTCACTTTATCGTTTCTTTCTTTAGAATGATTCTCCATCACTTTGTGGTTTGTCTTTTCTCCTCGAGTTAACATCTTTGCCGTGCGCGCCCTCGCCACAGTTGCGACAACACACGGCCAATAATGTTCAAGGTAGCTCATTGTTTTCGATGAAGGGAGGGATTGAGTCGTTTTGCAGGCACAGAATGCGATAACTGTTGCCTACTTGTTGTTTTGTCGTTCACCCAAAGGTCGATCTCGAGGTTGGCCAATTCCGTCGGGTGTATACAGCTAATGGGCGGAGAGAGAGAGAGAGAGAGAGAGAGAGAGAGAGAGAGAGAGAGAGAGAGAGAATAAAAAATTATTAATATCAAAATATGCTGGAGATATAATTCTCAGGACATTAATAAATTGAAGTATGCGTTCGGGTGTGATTTTATAGGTCATCCCAGTATCGGCGTAAATTCATATCGAAGAGCGGAAAAGGCCGATATAAATCGTTCCCACAATATTTTTCGTTAAAATCCAGGTGTAATCGTGATCTCATAATTTTAACGTCTGGTACAATGAAAAAAAGCCGATGAGTAATAAGAGAAATATGAGAATCGTGACGCAGATTAATCACCACGAATTTGTTGCAGCGGCACAATTTATATCATTTTTTTTTATTTGACTACAGTGTTCCAAATTGAAGTTTGAAATCATCGTGTTAAAGTTACTATTGTATTAAATTCACGTCACGTTGTCACGAGAAATTGGCAATTGCGATTGGCATTTAAAGCCCTTGGAATGGATTTAACAGCACTCATGTTTGGTTTTATCTTGTTTGAATGAGTTAACGCGAAATCCTCGGCATTTGAAAAATCGGTCACAACGTTAACCTCAGTTTTATCCACATTTATTCGATCGTTTCGCTGCATAACATCCCCAGGAATAAGTAATAAGGCCGAGTTCTGGGAGTTCATGTCCTTTGTTTAATAAATTTTCCATTCTCGATCACCCACTCAATTTTCCTTTCCACAAATTCAATCTTCAATATATCTCCACGTTTTTTAATGAAAATTGAAATAATAGTAGTAGTATTCGAAATAAGAGAAAGAAATATTGGTACTGCCTTAAAACAAGGAGAAAAGGAATGGGGATAGGGAGAATTGAATTGGGACGATGGAGTTTAATAGCCTCTATTGAAGTTGCCCGATGGTCGTTGAAGATCCAGACGTGGGGTTCCCTCGTAAGTAACCTGGGCGCTAAATCCATGCTTCCAATCTGCCGTATAACGAACGATTTGCGTGCGTCCGTCCGGAAGTTGAACCCGGTATTCTCCTCTCGTCACATCCCCATCACTAATAGCATTATGTGAGTAGTCATTACCAAAGGCGTCCTCTTTCACTGCATAATTGAAATCAAATGGCATGCCAGGCTCATGATGATGATCATGCTATTGACATTAAAAAAAAACAAATAAACCTTGCGCCATCGATAAAATCCCATTATTATTCTCATAATTATGTGCCTAATTATATGCTATAAAGAAATGAATAAAAAGCAAGAATATTTATATGAAAAAAAAATTACTCTGACGCCCGTGTGACTGTAAAAAAAAACAATCGCTGTGTGGGCCGCCAATAATTTACCGCCTGGGAAATGGCCATTGTATATTTTTTTTTAAATTCTTTTTCTTCACCTCCTCTCCATCGCTGTGACACAGTTTCATTTCTATCTCTACGTCATATGAGATATGAAAAAGACGATGAAGATGGAAAAAAAGGGGATAAAATGAATAATTCCTCGGTTATTATTACTTGAGCACACCAGAATTTAACTGTGGATGCCAGCTCGCAGCCAGTAGCTGTTATTGTACGCACATGAGAGGCACTCATGTACAATGTAGAAATGGTGTTGCGCTTCAACAGGGAGAGCGAGTATTATCTTGGTATCATGGTATTAAAGCGCAAAACGACTGGCGCAGCTGCCACTCGAGATTGTCAAATGAAATTAACTCCCACCTTGCCCATAGTAATACCATCATACGACGCTGGGTACATAACCCCGGGATTTTCTATTCAGCATGAAGACAGCGAGTAAACTTCCCTACGTGTTTAGTTGTACAGAAGTTATATGCAATGTGTATATATGTATATAGAGGACTGGCTGTCTGGCCACAAAGTAGACTAAATTTATCTTAGTATGGAAGCAGGGGTAGCAGCACACCGCATTTGAGTGTTGTGTAAAGATCATTTGCCCAGGAAATGTACTTACTCCAGGTGACACAGTGTTTCCATTATTGCCGGACGGTTGGCCTGTGTAATCCGGAAAACCTGGTGTTGGTCGAATACCGGGGCCTGGGTATCCCGTGGGCCGTTGGGATGGCGTTGGAAAGACCGGCGTTGGACGGGTGCCGGGGCTTGGGTAACCCGGTCTACCAGTTGGCGGGGTTGGTCTTGCTGGGCCCGTTGGAAAGGTTGGCGGTGGTCTGGATGGGCCAGTGGGAAATGTACCTCTGGTCGGGGGAAATGGTGGCGTTGGCCGTGGTGAAAATGGTACTGATGGCGTGTTGTAGTCGTAACCCTTCGTTGGATCCGGTGGTAAATAAGTATTGTGCCTTGTTCCTGGTGGTAAATCACTGATGACACTGCCCACCGTTAAGCACACCAGGTACACCTGGACAATATTATTGTTATCACGTTTTTTCATCCGTTAAAATAATCCATCGTCAAATAATCATTTTTTTTTTATTGCATGGCCTAATATGATTCTCGCATAATATTCACCATCTGTTCGAACTATGTGGGAATATACAGAGAAAATATATTATGGATCCCCTGAAAGAATGTAAAAGATTCAGTTGGATCAGTTGGATTCAAGAGCTCTCTCAATTGAATCGATTATTTAGAATGAATTTTCATTAGCATATGGAAATTGCGATTCCTCTCAGCAACTGCCCGCTTTTGACTTACCTGATTTATACTTGATAGAATCAAGCCACGACATGTCTGGAGGATATTTGTTATAGAACATAAAATCCTAATGAACTCAGGGACGAGATGTGTAGCCAGATGTCATGCTAAATGAGTTTTATTACAGTCTGTATATTTTTTCCTTTTTCCTACTCACGACTAAGAGAGTGCCTTTGCGTTCGGAGTGGGAATGGCTCGTTAGGAAAAGGTACTCACTATGAACATGAAAGAGTATGTCGCGCGTTAAATGACAGCGTTGTTATTTGTAATTAGGTCGAGGGCTCGAAGGGCAGTTTTACACGCGCCATCAAACGAAATCTTTCGTGAACCAATTGGTTCAACGATGGAACAGTGAAAGTACTTGTTTATTTTTACCCTTTTTCATTTTCTATAGTGTCGGAGTGTACACCAAAGTACTTCACCCTCGAGTGAACGAATAACTAGGTTAATGGCAGGGTCACTGCGTAACAACAGCTTCGATTTGTATTTGTATTTTTTCCTCTTCCTTACTCTATTTCCAAACATACTTTCATCAATGAATTTTACAGTTGTATTTTATGTGTTGTATGTGAACTTTATGTGACACAGGTATATTTTTATTTGGATATAGGATGGCTTATTCATTTGACGGACGGAACGGTTATCTGTAAGAGCTTGATGAATTATCTGTCTCATAAAAGCTGCTTGCAACAATAGGTGCATCTGTCTTCGATTTGTCGCTTGCTAATGGGGCGTCGTAAACCTTTTTTTTCTACTGATGCGCTTCAATCATTCCACTGTTTTTCGATCGTTTCTAACGACTAGCTTTCCTTTTTTGCAAATTATGGATTTACCCCATTACCTTTTTACCTTGGATATCACGAATAAATTCTTTAAGGACATTAAATTCGACTTTAAAAAACCATTTCCGTGTGAAAGCCATGGAATATGGCATTCAATGGAATAGGGGAGGATTGCGCTTAATAAAACATTGTAAAAAAAATACACCGTTTTTAGGTTTTATCATTATTCAATAATTTGAAAATGTTTATTGTCGTGTCTCCATGTCTAAATTTTTGGCAAAGTTTTAAGAATTTTGGTAAAAGTTGACTGAACGTAGGAAGATTCTTCCACGGCGATGAAACTGCGTGAGACATTGAAATTGAAAGATAATTTGGTTTAACCGAAGATTGAAAAATAAATTTCCCAGAATGTTTTAAATTTTGAAGAATTCTTTAGAAATGAACTCAATTGAAATTAATAAGTTCCCACTAGCTTATATGAATACAATTGTTAAAAATTAAAAGGAAATAGTAATGAAGCAATTTCCCTAAGTGAATTCCATCCAACACTCAGTGTCTAATTGACTAATTTCGATAATGAATTGAATGAATAACTTTATTGGCTAACTTTTTCCATTTCCGGGGTCGTTCGTGGAGAACATTGTGTCACGCCGTTGTCGATTGCTCTCCAGTGTAAGCAAGAACCATTCGATAGCCAGAGTACCTCGAGTAATTTACTCGGTATGTCGTTTGCGGTTGAAATAACTCTTCTTTGCTTCTATAAATATTATCATTTTATTACCGGCAGCTAGCATGACTGTCCCTCCTCTGGAGAAAAAGACCCGTAGGAAAAATGAGACAAGGCAAAAGAAGAGTTGAGAGAATTTCCATTAAATTGTAGAACAAAAGTGACGAAAGACGAATAAGCGAGATAAACTGTAATACCGCAATAACAGATACCAATCGTGCCAAGTATTATAATTTAAAACTGATATTGCAGTTGTTGAAACCCCTTGCATTTTGAAATATCAATTATCTTAATTATATCGAGCGTTGTGCGGCGGCAATATTGAAGAATACTACTTAGAAAACTCGTCGAGTGGTAATATGACAAGGTAACAAGTATCTACAACCGATCAAAGGTTATCAACTCCATGTATGCTACTCCTCATAATTCGCAGACTCCACCATAAATTAATTAACTTCACTCTTGTACATGTTTAATCATTCCGCCATCGAACACTCCCCATAGCCCCAACTATCGATTATTTCATACAGCGACAACTCTCGTATCTCCAATTGTCAATCTTTCAGTGCTATTGAATTCTAAACATGAAGTTGATGAACACTAGGAAATAAGTAGCAATGCCACAATACCGTAGATTCAGAGTATTTCCAACTGATGGAGAAAGGAAGAGAGGGCGAGAGAGGTGTAGGCATTGCATCACCTTTCATCGGATAGTTGACTCGAATACTTCAGCCCCACTTAGATGTGACCTATTGAGGTCTCACACAGTACCTGGAGAATCTGCACTCACACCTCACCTCTCTTCTATATGACTAGAACCGTTCCTCTTTCCACTCCTCTCTTAGTAAGTGTATCCGCCAATGGAAGCAGAATAGACTGCGTTCTCTTGAATATAACGATCCCTTGAACCTTTTCATCTCGACTGACACCAAAAGAGTTCGCCCCCCTTCCCTTTCAATTCCCAACGGCTTTACCCTCACCCCCATCGCCCTATTTATTGTTTTACTCATTCGTTGATTTTTGATTGACAAGAAATGGGAGGTGGTGAAAGAGTGTGCGTTGCGTTTGACAGGATAGCGTAGAGCGATGAATGGCAGTTTATCGATGGATTTGTTAACATGTGTTCGGTAGCACTTGTTTTTACACGAGACAAATGCTCGAGTTGGGGATGCTAGAGGGAAGAATGCTGGGAAGGTGTAATATCAGTGTGGGCTGTCGAGTATGCGGTATTTCTGACAATGGTGTGATTCAGTGAATTCGAGTACTCAGATATACAAATAGCCGAGCACTGGACACATTCTGTGGAACAATTGATGTGAATGATTGGACATACCTGTATACGAAACATTGTTTTGCTCGTTTGGATTTTCGTACCGGCTAACTCTCTAGCAAAAGTTACCAGTAAATTGTTGGACAGCTGCCCTATACCCCCTGGTTTACCTTCCGTTTGATTTTCACTCACAAGTTTAGCAACTAGACGCGAACAGTTTCTTGTGACACTGTTGTAAGGACGGGCAAAGGACGTGCATACAACTGAATAAGTTGAAACTGTTTTGAATGAATATGCATGTGCGAGCCGTTGGTTGATACTGTAACGGTTAGTATGCTACTACTTGAAGACACGATGCGGTAACTGTTCGCCAATGCCAGCAAGTTCCGTTTATATAGCGTTGAGCCTAATAAGATGAACCTTCGAGGAGTCAGGAGGCAAGTCACCAAGAACTGGAGAAGGAGGTAAAGAAGCTACAAAGATGAAGAGGTGAGGACCCCCAACCCACTGCCACAGCCAGGCCTCTCAAAAGGAGATAGAGGGGCGGCTACTCCCTATTGCCCTGTCGTTCTCGTCACTCAGCCTGAACCTTCTCGAGGATCCTCTCAATACGTCCGTATCAACCAACCCGATAGTAATCCTCTAATACACGTCTATCCATTTTGCGGAATCGATCTAGTTAGTGTCACTGTACACTTTTCAAATATTGCACTCGAAATTCCATGTGAAGAAATTGGAAATTTTTAACAACGACAAAGCGATATGAACTTTCACACGCACCTGAAAAATCTCATTCTCTTCAATTTCTTCAATTTCACGGTGAACTGAAATTCAAACTCACATACTTGAAAATTCATTCATTGTGACGTTAAAATTGAAGAAAATAACTACAAGTGTATTCGCTTATTTGTTATGTCGATATTGAATACTTTCATCCAAGACTTCAGGAGCAAAACAATAAACAATAAACCGTTATTTAAGTCTGCTGATTTCTTCGATGAATTTGTTTGTGAGATGTCTCGGAAACAGAGAGATAACATCTTTCTTGCTATTCGCTTTTGCAGCTCGCGATTACCGCTACAAAAATGGCTATAACAAAAATTTTAGCCTTCCTTAGATTTAAAAATTTTCATCGAAAACTAGTCAGTATTTAAGCTCAATTTAATTCGGATTACTGTTTGTTCATCGAATTATTTTGTTTTCGCAGTTACGGATCATTTGATTGAAAATATTTTCGGTTAATGTTCAGTCAATATTTGGACAGTGTATATCACTTAGTCTTATTACACAACATTATTTCTGCTTTGATCACATTTCCATATTTGGACAGGATTATATCGAATATTATTTGCGGAGTAGGGAAAATACTCATGGCATTTCGCTTTTTCATTTCATAGATGTAAATACGAATTTTCCAATTGAGTAGAGTTTTTGCGGCAATTAAAAATCAAATAGCATGCACATTGGATTTTGCAAACTTTTCGTGCATTGACACATTTCATTAAATTCTCCACATTAAATTGTCGGCATTAAGCTTGACGCAGCTCAATAATATTACCGGGATTTTTTTATTTCAGGAGTCACGTGTGACGTAAAATTTTAGTTTTAACTAAAGTTAAATGCATTCAAAATTTAGTGGTCCACTGAAGGAGAGGTGGAATAGTGAAAACCCAACTTTGTTTCAGTGAACTTACTTCCTAATTCATGGGTGCTCTAATGTAACATTGAGCAAGACCAGAAAGGTAGAAATGTAAATATTTAATGGATCTTGACACCCGGCCAAACCGATTAATATTTTTTCGTAATGGCAATAAATTCATTTCCTTGGAAATCCTCAATTTTCTTTGACTTTTCGTACTCATTCATAGAACTTTTCACGTTTGTTTTCCATTTGCATGGTAAATACTTGTTCATATTCTAACCAAAATTTATTTCTTGATTGCGTGAAATGCATTCGGAAAAAAATGACGTTATGAAATGAAAAGTGCGGGGATAACTGGCTGGTGTTTACTCAAATTTTCATAAATTTATCATTATACTTCTCTCTCACAAGATCAGTAATGAATGAAATTCGAATTTATATTCACATTCATAATCAGAGATTGCATAAAACGATTCGCAGTCCAGTGTGCTGCAGTGTGCTATTTGCACAATGAAGACCCGTATGATAGACAGCTAAACAAATATCGATAACGAGAAAACATTCGACATAATTGACAGACGAACATTTAAAAATAGCCACATCTCATTCATGTCTCAATTCTCCTCGTCCTGACTCCTACGTCTAGTTGAAAAACAAATCACCCAGGGAATGAGGTCACCGCGCAGAAATGGGAGGAAAGTAGTACCCTGTTACCCAAACAAAAATTAACCAACGTTTATAGAAATGTAGAGGAGGTGGAAACTGAAATATACCGTAACGTACAAAAGGATGAGAGCAACCGAAGAGGAGAAAAAAAAAGAAAATGGGATAATAGAGGTTTGAGCGCAACAAAATGCGGAAATGGAAAACTCGGTTCAGAGGCATCAGACGTGACATTAACTATTGATCCAACTGAGAGGTAGGAGTATCACGTATTTGTGTGGTAACGCCGGTGTATTTCGCGTGTATTACTCTCCCAACTGTATATCCTGATGTCCGTGGACGTCTATTGATCTGTTTGTATCGCTTTTCTAGGAAACCTAATACAAGAGCAATCACATTTTACAGCGAGTCAAATTTTGACAACTACTATCCCATGCAGGATGGCCGGATTGGCCTGAGGATCGGGCCAAGCTCGGTGCCAATATTTCCGAAGCTCGGAAAAGAGACTGGCCTAAAGCTCTATCGAGCCTTGGATGATAACTCCGGCCCGATTATCGGTGCCTTCATTGGCCCAATGATGGCAGCCGATTAACAGCCGAATCTTATTAATTTTACCCGAAAATATTAATAACTTTGATTTTTTATTGAAAATTATCCTATTATCAATCTTTTGACGGTAATTGAAAGAAGCTAGTAATAAAAAAGAATAACGAACTAGACTGTAAATGCTCGGCATATGATTGGGTACCGAGGCACTCATTCAATTAATTAATAAAAAGTGAAAAAATAAATTTTTCTCGTTTTTATGATTTATTAGTCATCCTTGATCACGGCGGCAACGATGTCGACCCTGAAAAAACCTAATCGACGAACTCCAATTTTGTACCTCACAAGACTCGAACCTACGACCTTTCGTACACTAGTCCAACGCCCTAACCACTAACCTAATACGGAACTCTTGTAGTAAAAGCATAAAAACGACTTCATAAATTTGAGTCAGTTATTTTTGCGCATTTCTGTCCTTCTTTGATCAATTGATAGAAAATTAATTATCAATCGATTACTGAGTATTTCTGTAATTTATCTAATTAAAAAATAATTGCAATGATAACGGCAGTTATTACTTTTATCGCGAACGCCTCCTTTTCCGAATTTTTCATTTATTATTCACTTGGCTTCAATGAATGCTGATTCCGCTGAAATTTCTACAGATTTCATTGATTAATGTCAATTATAATGTGATTATACTCAATAATTATTTTAAGTGATGGATATTGGGGAAACTCCGTGGGGCTCATGAATTGCCAATGATGGACAAACCGAACTTTGTTGGATCGATTTGGGCCAACATATTGGCGGAATATCGACCAATCGAGTATCGGCGAACGAAGCTGGCCAGTGTACTAGCCAAGCATTCGAAAACCGAGTGTTGGTCAGCAGATGCTGGCCAATACATTAGCCAAGTCTGCAGGCTTGGAAATTCTTACATGGGATATCACCCAAGTCCACCCATAGCTAACGATTCTTATTGTTATGTACTCGATGCCTCAGTATATAGAACGTCACATGTATATGCCGTCTTGATAAATTGAAGTGTATTTTCTAGGGATGGGTAAACTGTGATTTTACAAAACTAGACGGCAATTGTAAGTGCGCCGTGAGATCGGTTGGTGGAGTGTTATAGAACAATGTAACATTTATCTCAATTTTTTATGCCAAAAAAACCATCATTCATTCCGTCACGTTGTCGTCATATAGCTCTCCGTTGGTTCATCGCATTAACGCGGTTCCCCGTGCATGGAAATGTTGGTATTATCATACTTCATGCTGCTCACAGTGTGAATGGAAAATCCCTATACTCCAGACGGCTATTATATCCTCTAACGGCTGAAATATAATGTGCCCTTTACAAATTTATGGAAACTTCCTGCATAATACTTCCACGACAAGTTTTACGCCAACTTCTGCGATAATAGTTTTAAAGCTGGAAAATAATGGGTGATGAAAGGAGAAAAAACACTGGTGCAAAGAGCGCTCTGATGATGTATGTAATTAGTGTCCGTTTGATTCTCCCCCATTAGCCTACGTCAGTCTGTCTATCGCAGGCCAATTCCCGTTGACGAGAAAGCTGGCTTGATCTATTTTGCATTAGCAAAGATAGGTTTTTCGCTGATGGGCAAAATATAACCCCAAAAGACCCCCTCCCCGGAAAAGTTGATTCACGAGTCGTTGGACAACGGTCGCGGTGGATTTACCGAGTCACGCGTATTCTCGACAGCGTGCAAGACAGTAACGATACAATTGCAAAAGTCGTTGGGCGACGAACGAGAAACCAACTTCTCGGTAAAACTTTGTGGAACAAAGTTCGCATACCCCAAACTCATTCTCTTTTTATTTTTTTTTTCTTTTCAAAGAGCCTTCCAGACGCTTTGTCGCTCGGAAAGAGCGTGAAAATAAAAATTGCTGGCAATTTAAAAAACAGGAGAAAGCGAAATAAAAAAGTAGAATAGCATAAAAAGGGGAGCATAGTAAGGTAGTGACTAATTTTGAGGCAATAGAAGATAAGGATAGAAATGTTGATCAGGTTATATCTACGAAATTTGCGCAATAGGTTGACGGTTAACATGAGGTCTCGTCGTGGGAACTGGGGAAGGCAGTTTGAATAATTTTGATGTATATCAAGCATCTCTCGTTGTGTCGAGGAGACTGATCAGCAGTAGGATGTGCGTTGGAAATTGAACACTGTTGCACAATTGCTGGATTACGGGCGAATAACATATACAATAAATTACGAGTATAACACCGGAGCTGTTACATTGATTGCAATGAGTGAGCTATTTTTGTGTAATATTTTTTATGACTCGAGGAATTTTTTCCTTCTCCCTATTCGGCAACAATAGTCATGGGACCCAACGAAAGGTCAAGGTACGTACAATCTAATCCGCTCATAATTACAGTACATCCATGGAATTCGCTCACTCACTGTCAGATATATAATCCCCAATAATAATCGATCGATGACCAATCATGTTTCTCTCTTCGGGC